TTCATGAGGTGCTGGGATTGACTCTTTGGGGTGCCCTGGGGTGCTGGGATTGACTCTTTGGGGTGTTGTGGTGCCCTGGGGTGCAGTGAATCGCTCCCTGGGGTGCTGTGGGGTGCTGGGATTGACTCTTTGGGGTGCTGGAGATTGTTCATGGGGTGCTGTGATTTACTCTCTGGGGTGCCTTGGCGTGCTGTGATTTACTCTTTGGGGTGCCATGGTGCCCTGGAGTGCAGGAATCACTCCCTGGGGCTCTGTGGGCTACCATGTGTTTCTCCCTAGGGTGCTGTGGGGTGCAGTGACTCCATCCTTGGGGTGCCATGGATGCAGTGACTCCATCCTTGGGGTGTAGGGGTGCCATGGGGTGCAGTGAATCACTCCCAGGGTTGCCATGGGGTGCAGTGACTCCATCCTTGGGGTGCCATGGGGTTCAGGAATCACTCCCTGGGGTGCCATGGGGTACAGGGGTGCCATGGGGTGCAGGGGTGCCATGGGGTGCAGTGACTCCATCCTTGGGGTGCCATGGAGTGCAGTGACCCCATCCTTGGGGTGCCGTCTCCATCCTTGGGGTGCCATGGGGTGCGGTGACTCCATCCCTGGCATACACCACAGGGTTTGCTCAGGGTCCCCCCTTGGGGCCAGGTGTATTTTTAGTATTTTTAGGATCGCCCCAGCTCTCGCTGGCACTTCACCCCCGAGTCCCCCAGATGCTCCCAGAGCTGTGGCACGCAGGGGCCAAACATTTCACCCCTAAATTACCGCCCCGGAGACGGGGTCAGGGCCACGGGCTGGGGGTGACACAGGGCTTTGGGGGCGCACAGGCTGGGGGTGACTCGGCTTTGGGGACGCACGGGCTGGGGGTGACGCAGGGCTTTGGGGGTGACTCAGCTTTGGGGGGCTCAGGGTGATTCAGGGCTTTGGGGGTGCACAGGCTGGGGGTGACTCGGCTTTGGAGGTGACTCGGCTTTGGGGGCGCACAGGCTGGGGGTGACTCACGGCCGCCGCTCCTGTCCCCTCTCTGAGTCAATCCCGGAGCCGTTCCGTGCTGCTGGCAAGGAGGAGGAGGAGGAGGAGGAGGAGGAGGAGGAGGAGGAGGAGGAGCGCGGCGGTGGCAGTGACTCAAAGTGACAACAACAATAATAATACGCTGCGGCACTTGTCACGGGAGCGGCGCTTGGCCGGGGTCCCTCGTGCGTCCCCACGGCCGCCGGCGCACGGGGACCCCGGCCAAGGCGGGGGTGTCGCCGCCGCTCGCGGGGTCGCCCGGGGACGGGGGGGACACTGCGGTGACGGCGTCCCGCGGGCACCGGGGGCTGCGGGGGACACCCCGCTCGCCGTCACCTAAAATGGCCGGTTAAGGTCCCTGCAGGCTCCCGGCTGCGGCACGGCACCGCCGAGGTCCCGAAATATATATATATATATATATATATATAAAGAAAAAAAAGGAAAGGAAAAAAAAAAAGCAAAAAGGCGGGATTTCGGGTGGGTTTTCCATCCATTTTCGTGCCGGTGGCTGCCGCGTGTCTCGCCCAGCCGGCGCAGGTAACCCAGTTCGGAACGCCTCTGCCGCCGCGCCGAGCGTGACTCGCCGCTCCTGCCGTGCGGCAGCGGCACCGCCGGGGCCCCCGGGAGGGCAGCGCCGCCAGCACCGGGGACGCGCGGGCCGCGCACGGGGAGCGCCGGAGCGCCGGGCGGGCTCCGTGCCCGCGGCCGCGGGATGCCGCCGAGGCCGGTGCCGGCGGCCTGAGCCAGGGCACGGTGCCGCGGATCCCCCGTGCCGTGCCGTGCCGTGCCGTGCCGTGCCGTGCCGTGCCGTGCCGGGCCGTGCCGTGCCGGGCCGTGCCGGTAAGAGCGCGGGGAGCGGGGCCGGGTCCCGCGGGCCCCTCCGGGATGGGGCGGGCGGCGGGAAGCGGCCGGGCCGCGGCGGATCCCGGCTTTGTTCGGCGGCCGGGGCTCGCTGCGTGCCGCGGGGTTTGTGCGCACAACTATTTTTAGAGCCTTCGGAGACCATGTTGGCTGGAAGCGAATCAAAGCCGCCGGCAGCGCCAGGCGGGCCCGGCCGGGAGGGAGGGAGAGGGGCTCGGCCGTGCCCCGGGGCTGCCGGAGGGTCCCCGCTGCCGGGGCGACCGGGGGCGGCACGGCGGAGACCCCCGGCTTGGGACCCGCGGCTTGGGACCCCCGGCTTGGGACCCCCCGAGCGAGCGCGGCCGGGGATCCCCCGAGGTGCAGCCGCGGTGTCCCCGGTGCTTCCCTCCCGCTGCACGTGTCCGTGCCGTGCCGGGCCGGGCCGGGCCGGGCCGGGCCGTGCCGAGGCGCGGCGGGAGCGGGGTCCCGGGGGGCTCGGGGATAGTGAGGGGCTCAGCCAGCGGCACCCCGGGAGGCGACTCGCGGGGGAACGGGGAGCCGAAGTGCCGTGCCGTGCCGTGCCGTGCTGTGCCGTGCCGTGCCGTGCCGTGCTGTGCCGGGCCGGGCCGGGCCGGGCCGGGCCGTGCCCTGCCGTGCGGCTGCCTGGTGGCACCGCCGCTGACAGGGGGGCAGTGCGGTGGTCGGGGGGTGCGGGGGGTGCCGGTGCCAGCCCCGGCCCGTCACCGACGGCATCCCGGTGCCCGCGGGCCGAGCGTGCCCGCGGGGCGCCGGCGTGGGGTGGCAGCGCTGTGCCACCGAGGGGGCCGGGGCTTCCCCGGGAGCTCCCCGGGCTGCGGAGGGAAGGGGGCCGGGGAGTCCCCCCCAGCGCCCGCTGCGTTTGGGGTACAGCGTGCACCCCACAGCCCCAGTCTGCACCCCCAGATCCCGCACCCCAACCCTGCACCCCCGGCCTGCGCCCACCCCCCACTCCCCCTGCCCTCCTCATCCTCCTCATCCTCCCCCCAGCCCGCGGGAGGGGCCGCTCGGGGGGCACTGGGGCAGGGGGCTGAGCTCCCCCATCTGCCCCCCAGCGCCCCAAATCCCGGCGGCCGTGTCGGGGGCGGCCGCAGCCCCCCAGCGGCCCCCCAGCGGCCCCCCAGCGGCCCCGGGCGCGGGCCGGGGGGATGCCCTGGGCTGGGAGCGGTGCCGAGAGCGGCGTCCTGCCCGGCCCGGCCCCCCCGAGCCCCCCGCCCGAGCCCCCCGCCCGCCGCTGGGAACGGCTGCGGCTGGAAAGCTCTAGAAACAAATTGCAGCTCCGGTGCCAAAGGCAACAGCAGCCCCGGCCATGGCGAATGCAGCGTTTGCCATAGCAACAGGTGCCGGCTGGCGCCTCCCCCCCGGCCCCCCGCATGCGGCCCCCGGAGCCCGCAGGCAGCGCCCCCCGCACCCGGGACCCCGCACCCGGGACCCCGCACAGCCAGCACCCCCCGCACCCGGGACCCCGCACCCGGGACCCCGCACAGCCAGCACCCCCCGCACCCGGCACCCCGCACAGCCAGCACCCCCCGCACCCGGGACCCCGCACCCGGGACCCCGCACCCGGGACCCCGCACAGCCGCACCCCCCGCACCCGGCACCCCGCACCCCGCAGCCCGGCCCGCACAGCCAGCACCCCCCGGACCCCACAGCCAGCGACCCCCGGCTCCCTGCATCACGCTGCGCCCCCAGGCAGCGCTGGGCACCCCTGTCCTGCACCCTTGGCACCCCAGAACCCTGCAGGTGATGGCACTGCCGGCCCCTCACTGACAGCACCCCGCACATCCTGCACCGTGCAGACACTGTGCCTGGTGCCCCACAGTGTGCACCCTAAACCCCACACACCCTGCACCCCAAACCCTGCCCTGTGTCCCTGCAGCGTGTCCTGCACCCCACACACCCTGCACCCCAAACCCTGCCCTGTGTCCCTGCAGCGTGTCCTGCACCCCACGTGCCTCTCACCCTGTACCCTGCACCCCACAGCCCTGCTGGCCCACACCCTGCACCCCACAAAATGCACACTGCACCCCTCGTACCCCACACTGCTCACAAGGTGCACGGTGCACCCCAAAACTGGGCACCCCGTGCTGTGCAAAGGGCACCCACACTGAGCATTGGGTGCTGGGTGCCCTGCACCACACTCTGCACCCTGTGCCCACAGCCTGCACCCCGCACCATGGGCACTGTGCCCCACACCATGGACACTGTGCCCCACAGCTGCGCCCCACACCATGGGCACTGTGCCCCACACCATGGGCACTGTGCCCCACAGCTGCGCCCCACACCATGGGCACTGTGCCCCACACCATGGACACTGTGCCCCACAGCTGCGCCCCACACCATGGGCCCTGTGCCCCACAGCTGCGCCCCACACCATGGGCACTGTGCCCCACAGCTGCACTCCACACCATGGGCACTGTGCCCCACACCATGGACACTGTGCCCCACAGCTGCGCCCCACACCATGGGCCCTGTGCCCCACAGCTGCGCCCCACACCATGGGCACTGTGCCCCACAGCTGCACCCCACACCATGGGCACTGTGCCCCACACCATGGACACTGTGCCCCACAGCTGCGCCCCACACCATGGGCACTGTGCCCCACAGCTGTGCCCCACACCATGGGCACTGTGCCCCACATTCTGCACCCCACACCATGGACATTGTGCCCCACCACTGCAGCCCTGTGGGCTCCCCACATCTCACACCGTGCCCCCTGTGCCCCACAGTGCTCCCCATGCTCTGCACCCCTCACCACGCAGCCTGAACCGACAATGTGCACCCCCTATGCACCCCTCACCCACACCCCGCAGCCCTGACCCTCACCCCGCACCCCTGTGCCCCCCTCACCCCACACCCCGACCCTGCATCCCCTGTTCCCCCTGTACCCCTGACCCTCACCCCGCACCCCTGGCCAGGCCGGGATGTTCTCGGGCACCGTGCGGGCACTGGCGGGGCATCAGCCCAGCCCAGCCCAGCCCAGCCCAGCCCGGCCCGGCCCGGCCCGGCCCGGCCCTGCCGAGTCAAGGCTGTGGCACGTTAATAATTGCCGGGGCTGGGGCCGGGCCGGGCCGGCGGGGCGGGAGCAGCCCCTGACCCGTGTCCCCCCGCTCTCCCCGCAGGGCCAGCAGCGAGCAGGCGGCGGCGTCGGGGACGGCTCCGGGACCCTCCGAGCGCAGCGGGCTCCGCTCCGGTGCTGCTGACAGGCGGCGGCCCCGGGCCCACCATGCCGTCCAGCGGGAGCCTGGACACCGGCAGCCCCGCGCCCAGCCGCGAGGCGCTCGACACGCACAAGGTACGGCCCGGTCCGGTCCCGGGGCTACGGGGGACCGGCACGTCCCGGGGATACCGGCACATCCCGGGGCTACGGGGGACCGGTACATCCCGGGGATACAGGCACATCCCGGGGCTACGGGGCACCGGCACATCTCGGGGGTACGGGGCACCAGCACATCCCGGGGCTACAGGGGACCGGTACATCCCGGGGATACCAGCACATCCCGAGGGAGCGCGGCCGGAGGGCTCCGGGGATGGACTCCATCCCGGCCATGGGGCTCCAGGGCTCAGCTCCGTCCCGGCCATGGGGCACCGGGAATGGGCTCCATCACGGCCATGGGGCACCGGGGCTCAGCTGCATCCCGGCGGGGGCTCCGGGGCTCGGCTCCTTCCCGGCCGGAGAGCTCCGGGATTTGGGTGGTTCCCGGCCAGGGGCTCCGGGATTCGGCTCCTTCCCACCCGGGGGGCTCCGGTGCTCGGCTCCGTCCCGGCCATGGGGCTCCGGGGATGGACTCCGTCCCGGCCATGGGGCTCCGGGGATGGACTCCGTCCCGGCCATGGGGCTCCGGGGCTCTGCTCCATCCCGGCCATGGGGCACCGGGAATGGGCTCCGTCCGGGCGGGGGCTCCGGGGATGGACTCCGTCCCGGCCATGGGGTGCCGGGGCTCTGCTCCATCCCGGCCATGGGGCACCGGGAATGGGCTCCGTCCCGGCGGGGGCTCCGGGGCTCAGCTCCTTCCCACCCCGGGGGCTCCGGGGCTCGGCTCCTTCCCAGCCATGGGGCACCGGGGTTCAGTTCCTTCCCGGCCGGGTGGCTCCAAGGCTCGGCTCCTTTCGGGGGCTCCGGGTCTCGGTTCCTTCCCGGCCGGCGGGAGAAGGGGGCGCGGGGCCCCCGGTGCCGCAGGGCGGAGGGGACGGGGGAAGCGGGAGAGGCCTGAGGCACGGGCGGGCGGGATTAGCGCGGATTGAGCTATTCCTGGCGCCGGGCAGCGCGGGGAGGGGATGGGGACACAGACCTGCTGTCACCTCCCGGCTGCGGGGACGGCTGGGCCGAGGCGGCTGGCACGGTGCGGGTGTCCTCCTGTGTCCGCCAGGATGGGGGGTGTACCCGGAATGGGTCTGTCCCCTGGGATGGGGGTGTCCTGGCCCCGGAGTGTGTGCTGGGTTCATGCCCTGTGCCAGGCGGGTGGCCTGTAACCCTCGTGCCAGCCCTGCTGCCCCCTCGGGGGGTCCCGTTTGTTCTGGGGGTCCCTGCACCTCCTCCATGTGTGACACCAGGCTCAGGAGGGACACCAAGTACCTGCCTGGCCAGGGTGGCCACTCCCAGTGGCAGGGCTGGCATGGCCGTGGCTCTTCCTGTGGGGCAGTGCCCAGCAGCACAGGGCAGCGCTGGGCAGAGCGTGGGCACTGGGGCACGGCCAGCTGGACACCTGGACACCGTCCCACTGCGGGCACGGCCAGGTCAGGGTCACATCCCGGTTCCTGTGACCGTCCCACGGCCAGGTCAGGGTCACATCCCGGTTCCTGTGACCGTCCCACTGTGGGCACGGCCAGGTCAGGGTCACGTCCCAGTACCTGTGACCGTCCCACTGTGGGCACAGCCAGGTCAGGGTCACATCCCGGTTCCTGTGACCGTCCCACTGTGGGCACAGCCAGGTCAGGGTCACGTCCCGGTTCCTGCTGGCCACCTGGGTCACGCTGTGTCACACGGTACTGCTCCCCATCCTGCAGCCATTGGTCCCGGCAGCCTGAGGGGCAGGACCGTGTGTCCATGGGGTGTGTCCATGTGTCCCTTAGGATGTGACTGTGTCCGCTGGGATGTATCCGTGTGTCCCCCGGGATGTGTCCGTGTGTCCCCCGGGATGTATCCGTGTGTCCCCTGGGGTGTGTCCCTGTGTGTCTGTTGGGATGTGTCCGTGTGTCCTGTGGGATGTGTCCATATGTCCCCTGGGATGTGCTCATGTGTCCCCTGAGATGTGTCCCCGTGTGTCCATGTGTCTGTTGGGATGTGTCCGTGTTTCCCCTGGGATGTGTCCATGTGTCCCTGGGATGTGCCTGGCACGTTTTTGGCACAGCTGGGGGCATGGGTACCCCATGGCCAGGTCGGTCTTGCCCTGCAGGAGCCGGGAGCGGGGTGGATGCGCAGCCCCCATGCTTTGGGATGATTCTGGGGGCACGGGGGGCACAGAGCAGAGCCGGGGCAGTGCCCGCTGCAGCCCGGTACCCCCGGGAGCAGGGCAGTGCCCGTTACAGCCTGGTGCCCCCGGGCCATGGCAGTGCCCCTGCAGCCCGGTACCCATGGGAACAGGGCAGTGCCCGCCGCAGCCCGGTGCCCCCGGGCCCTGGCAGTGCCCGTTACAGCCCGGTACCCATGGGCACAGAGCAGAGCCAGGGCAGTGCCCGCCGCAGCCCGGTGCCCCCGGGCCCTGGCAGTGCCCGTTACAGCCCGGTACCCATGGGCACAGAGCAGAGCCAGGGCAGTGCCCGCCGCAGCCCGGTGCCCCCGGGCCCTGGCAGTGCCCGTTACAGCCCGGTACCCATGGGCACAGAGCAGAGCCAGGGCAGTGCCCGCCGCAGCCCGGTGCCCCCGGGCCCTGGCAGTGCCCGCGCTGGCAGCCGCGCTCGGCCGGGCGCTGTCCCGGGCTGACCCCGCGGGATGCGGCGCCGCCTCCCCCGCGGCCGCACGCCGAGGTCACGGTGCTGCCGGCGGCTCCGCTGCCCCCGCGGCCGGCGCGGCCGAGCCTCCCCCGGCGCCTCCGGGCGGGCCGGGCCGGTGGCTGCGGCGGGCCGAGCCCCGCTCCCGGCCGGGGCGGCTCGGTACAGCCGGGATCCCGGGGCCGCGGGCCGGGCTGTGCTCCGGTACCAGGGAGCGAGGCCGGTGCCAGGGAGCGAGGCTGTGCTGGCAGTACCGCGGGCTGGGCTGTGCTCCGGTACCAGGGAGCGAGGCTGTGCTGGTGGTGCCCAGATCGGGGCTGTGCTCCGGTACCAGGGAGCGAGGCTGTGCTGGTGGTGCCCGGATCGGGGCTGTGCTGGCGGTACCACGGGCCGGGCTGTGCTGGCGGTACCGGTTAGCAGGGCCAGTGCTGCAGATCGAGGCTGTGCTGGCGGTACCGCGGGCCGGGCTGTGCTCCAGTACTGGGGAGCGAGGTCTGGCACCGGGGAGCGAGGCCGGTGCTGCAGAGCGGGGCTGTGTTGGCGATACCGGGGAGCGGGGCTGGCGGTACCGGGGAGCAGGGCCGGTACCGTGGAGTGGGGCTGGTATCACTGAGCAGGGCCGGTACCAGGGAGCAGAGCCAGTACCGGGGAGCAGGGCCGGTACCGCTGAACAGGGCTGGTACCGCTGAGCAGAGCCGGTACCAGGGAGCAGGGCCGGTACCGGGGAGCAGGGCCGGTACTGCTGAGCAGGGCCAGTACCGCGGATCAGAGCCGGTACCAGGGAGCAGAGCTGGTACCGCGGATCAGAGCCGGTACCGCTGAGCAGGGCCGGTACCAGGGAGCAGAGCCGGTACCGCTCAGCAGGGCCGGTACCGCACAGCAGAGCCGGTACCGCTCAGCAGGGCCGGTATCAGGGAGCAGAGCCAGTATCAGGGAGCAGGGCCGGTACCGCTCAGCAGGGCCGGTACCGCTCAGCAGAGCCGGTACCGCTCAGCAGGGCCGGTACCACGGAGCAGAGCCAGTATCAGGGAGCAGGGCCGGTACCGCTCAGCAGGGCCGGTATCAGGGAGCAGGGCCGGTACCGCTCAGCAGGGCCGGTACCAGGGAGCAGGGCCGGTACCAGGGAGCAGGGCCGGTATCAGGGAGCAGGGCCGGTACCAGGGAGCAGGGCCGGTACCAGGGAGCAGGGCCGGTACCGCTCAGCAGGGCCGGTACCGCTCAGCAGGGCCGGTACCAGGGAGCAGGGCCGGTATCAGGGAGCAGGGCCGGTACCGCTCAGCAGGGCCGGTACCGCGGAGCAGGGCCGGTACCAGGGAGCAGAGCCGGTACCTAGAGCAGGGCCGGTACCGCTCAGCAGGGCCGGTACCAGGGAGCAGGGCCGGTACCAGGGAGCAGGGCCGGTATCAGGCAGCAGGGCCGGTACCGCTCAGCAGAGCCGGTATCAGGGAGCAGGGCCGGTATCAGGGAGCAGGGCCGGTACCTAGAGCAGGGCCGGTACCAGGGAGCAGGGCCGGTACCTAGAGCAGAGCCGGTACCTAGAGCAGGGCCAGTACCAGGGAGCAGGGCCGGTACCGCTCAGCAGAGCCGGTACCTGGAGCAGGGCCGGCAGCGCAGCCAGCACTGCGTCATGCCGCAGCCCGGCCGCCGTTCCGTTCGTTCCGTTCGTTCCGCCGTTCCCCCGGGCTGTTGCTTGGCAGCGGAGCAGGAGCGGCGCCGGGACGTGCCCGGAGCCCCGCGCTCCCGGGGACGGGCCGGTGATGGATGCGCGGTGATGGCTCGGGGATGATGCGGGCACCGGGGGGCTGCGGCACCGGGACGGGGCACAGAGCCCCCTGTGCCAGCCCTGCTGCCGCCCCGGCTTTTGGGGTGCCGGCTGTGCCCCCGGAGGGTCCCTGGTCCTGATGGGTGCTGGGGCATCCCCTGGTCCCACAGCAGGGACCCTGCTGTGCCCTGGCCATGGCAGCTCTGCCCCTCCAGCTTTTCACCCTGAGGCCCCCTGGCCCCTCTGGGTGCCCCCCAGCTGCATCCTGGCACCCCCAGATCTTTCATGTACGTCCACTAAATGCTGCCAGGGCCTGGATGGGGCCAGGGAGGGACAGCTGGCTGGGGCAGTGCCAGCAGCCAGGGTGGCACTGGGGCACAGGGACGGGTGCCAGGGTCTGCCCTGCACCCCTGGGTGCTGCCCTGGCCCTGCAGCACAGCGAGGCACAGGGAAAGGGGGCACAGGGACCCCCAGAATCCCCTCAGGCCCCTGTGCCCCGGATGCTGCTGGATCTGGGATCCTGACACGGCCCTCGGAGCCGTCCCAAAACCTTCCAGCAGGATGCCATGTGCACTGGGGCCCGGCCCTGGCGGGGGCTGTCCCTGTCCTCATTCAGGGCTGGCAGTGCCAGCAGGTGCCAGGGCTGGGGGGTCTGTCAAGGGCTGGAGTGTCCCCGCACAGGGTGGGCAGCTGAGTGTGGGTGGGTGGCACAAGGGAGCTGGCACGGGGGCCATGGCTGGGGGCACCGTGGCAGTGGGACACCACGGCCATGGGGCACCACAGCCATGGGGCACCAGAGCCATGGGGCACAGTGTGTCCCAGTGCCATGGATTTTCATGCAGGACCCCCAGGGATGTTCCAGCTGCATCCTGAGGGCACAGCTGCCCAGCTCGAGGGCACAGGGCAAGAGTGTGGCAGCACTGGGGGCACAGGGCAGGGATGTGGCACCTCTGGGGGCACAGGGCAGCAACGTGGCAGTGTTGGGGGCACAGGGCACACACAGCAGCACTGTGGCAGCGTTAGGGGCACAAAGCAGCACTGTGGCAGCTCTGGGGGCACACAGTAGCAATGTGGCAGTGTTGGGGGCACAGGGCACACAAAGCAGCACTGTGGCAGCTCTGGGGGCACACAGCAGCAGTGTGGCAGCTCTGGGGGCACAGGGCAGCCCTGGTGTCACACACACAGCCGTGTGCCATCCCTGGTGCCGCACACACAGCAGTGTGCCATCCCTGGTGCCTCACACACAGCAGTGTGCCATCCCTGGTGCCACACACACAGCCGTGTGCCATCCCTGGTGCTGCACACACAGCAGTGTGGCAGTGTTGGGGGCACACAGCAGCAGTGTGGCAGTGTTGGGGGCACAGGGCAGCCCTGGTGCCCCACACACAGCAGTGTGCCATCCCTGGTGTCACACACAGCCGTGTGCCATCCCTGGTGCCCCACACAGCCGTGTGCCATCCCTGGTGTCACACACAGCCGTGTGCCATCCCTGGTGCCGCACACACAGCCGTGTGCCATCCCTGGTGCCCCACACGGCCGTGTGCCATCCCTGGTGCCCCACACAGCCGTGTGCCATCCCTGGTGTCACACACACAGCAGTGTGCCATCCCTGGTGCCGCACACACAGCAGTGTGCCATCCCTGGTGCCCCACACACAGCCCTGTGCCATCCCTGGTGTCACACACACAGCCGTGTGCCATCCCTGGTGTCACACACACAGCAGTGTGCCATCCCTGGTGCCCCACACAGCCGTGTGCCATCCCTGGTGCCGCACACAGCCGTGTGCCATCCCTGGTGTCACACACACAGCAGTGTGCCATCCCTGGTGCCCCACACAGCCATGTGCCATCCCTGGTGCCCCACACAGCCGTGTGCCATCCCTGGTGCCGCACACAGCCGTGTGCCATCCCTGGTGCCCCACACAGCCATGTGCCATCCCTGGTGCCCCACACAGCCGTGTGCCATCCCTGGTGCCGCACACGGCCGTGTGCCATCCCTGGTGCCCCACACGGCCGTGTGCCATCCCTGGTGTCACACACACAGCCGTGTGCCATCCCTGGTGTCACACACACAGCAGTGTGCCATCCCTGGTGCCCCACACAGCCGTGTGCCATCCCTGGTGCCCCACACAGCCGTGTGCCATCCCTGGTGTCACACACACAGCCGTGTGCCATCCCTGGTGCCCCACACAGCCATGTGCCATCCCTGGTGCCCCACACAGCCGTGTGCCATCCCTGGTGCCACACACACAGCAGTGTGCCATCCCTGGTGCCCCACACAGCCGTGTGCCATCCCTGGTGCCCCACACGGCCGTGTGCCATCCCTGGTGCCCCACACAGCCGTGTGCCATCCCTGGTGCCGCACACACGGCAGTGTGCCATCCCTGGTGCCCCACACAGCCGTGTGCCATCCCTGGTGCCCCACACAGCCATGTGCCATCCCTGGTGCCCCACACAGCCGTGTGCCATCCCTGGTGCCCCACACGGCCGTGTGCCAGCCCCAGCGTGCGGCCCCGTGCCTCTGCAGCTGCCCCCGGCTCTCTGTCCCTGCCCGCCCCATCCCCTCCCGGCCTCTCCCTGTCCGGCCCCGCCGGCCTCTCCTCCTTCCCGCTCCCCCTCCGCGGCCTCTTCCTGCTCGGCTGCTGCCGCTGCGGGATCTGCTGGGGCTCAGGTGAATCCCGCCCCGCGCCGTGCCGGGGCCTGGCCCGTGCCCGCCGCGTGCCCCCGCGTGCCCCCGTGTGCCCACAGCGCCCAGAGCAGGGACGGTGCCCCTGGTGATGGCAGTGCCAGGGCACAGGGGCGCATTCGCTCCCCGGGGCCTGTTCCTGCTGCGCCGCCATGTTGGCACACGCGTGCTGCCAGCGCCAGGCCGGGCCGCTGTGGCACCGGGGGCCACGGGGCACTGCCAGCTGCTCCTGTAGGGCACGGCAGGGTCCCCAAAACAGGCACTGCCCGCTCCAGGGGTGCCCGGCTCCTGCTGCTGGCCCTCATCTCCAGGGAGAGCCATGGCTGCCCCCAGGCCTGTGCTGTGGAGTGCCCACAGGGCCCTGCTGCGCTCCGTGCGCCGGGTTTGGAGGGTGGCATCGGTGGCACGGTGGCACAGGGCAGGAGGGTCACCCGGTGAGGCTGTGCCACTGCCCAAGCATGGCGGGAGCCACTGCCACCCTCCCAGGTGCCCTGGTGCTGCCAGCCCGGCAATGCCACGGTGCTCCCCCCTGCGCAGGTGCCCATCCCCATGGTGCCCGCGGTGCCCGTGACCCCGTGCCCAGCCCAGGGGTGTAACCATCCTGTGTGTGTGTGGCTGGCAGGGGGAAGAGGAGCCCGAGGAGACCCCGAGCAAGGAGGAGAAGCAGGAGCCAGGCACGCCCATGAGGAAGGCCGGGCGGCCCGGGAGGAAGCGCAAGCATGCCCAGGTGAGCCACGGGCACGGTGCCAGCTGGGGGCACTGGGTGTCCCCACGGGGCTGCTTTGGTGACAGACCTCTGCTCCTCCTGGTGTGCCATGGGCTGTCCCGTGTGCCAGGGAGCTGAGGCAGAGGGGTCCCCAGAGCTGTCCCTCCCCTCCTGTGCCCTCCTGTGCCCTCCCGTGCCCTCCTGTGCCCAGTGGCACTGTCCCACCCCGTGTGACTCTGCTCCATCGTGCATTCCCTCCCTGCCTGGGTGGCTCTGTCCCTGTTGCCCCACCCTGGGAGCAGAGCCCCGTGAGGGTCTCCCCAGCCCCTGCCCGTGGCTGATGCCCACCCAGCACTCAGCCCTCGCTGTGCCATGGGCACCGTGCCCGCTGGGGTCGGCTGGGAGCCACAGATGTGCTGGACAGGCCCCAGGGCTGAGGACGCTCGTGGCTCGTCCCTGCCAGGCCATGGTGTGTCCCAGTGCCACTGGGGAGCCACCTCCCTGCAGGGCGGGCACCTGGCTGGTGCCACCATGAATTCGGTGTGAGCAGAGGAGCAGGTGGAAGGTGCCCTTGGGCTCTCTCAAGCTCAGGCAGTGTCCCCAGACCTTGTTCACACAAGAGGGGACAGGGCGGTGACAAACAGGCCCAGGTGATGAGGGGACAGGGGGGTGACAAACAGGCCCAGGGTGATGGTGATGAGGGGACAGAGGGGTGACAAATGGGCCCAGGGTGATGAGGGGACAGAGGGGTGACAAACAGGCCCAGGGTGATGGTGATGAGGGGACAGGGGGGTGACAAACAGGCCCAGGTGATGAGGGGACAGGGGAACGAGCAGGGCCTGGGGGACAGACAGAGCTGAGGCCTCTCCACCCTTAGAAGGCTGCAAATCCTTTTTGGAGAAGTTTCTGGCAGCCAAAAGGGCTCATCCTGTGCTGGGAGCTTTCAGTTCTGAGCTGCCTGTCCTGAGGTCCCTGATCCCCAATCTCTGATCCCTGATCCCTGGTCCCTGGTCCCTGATCCCTGATCCCTGCCATGCCTGTCCCTGATCCCTGATCCCTGATCCCTGATCCCTGATCCATGGTCCCTGCCATGCCTGTCCCTGATCCCTGGTCCCTGATCCCTGATCCCTGATCCCTGATTCCTGATCCCTGGTCCCTGGTCCCTGATCTCTGCCATGCCTGTCCCTGATCCCTGGTCCCTGATCCCTGATCCCTGCCATGCCTGTCCCTGATCCCTGATCCCTGATCCCTGCCATGCCTGTTCTGACAGTCCCTGATTCCCTGCCATGCCTATCCCTGGTCCCTGCTCCGTGCCATGTTGGTGCCAGGGGCACAGCCGTGTGTCACAGTGCCACCCGAGGCAGTGTCAGTGCCACCCGGGTTGGGGCAGTGTCACCCGGGGCAGGGCTGTGCGAGGCTGGCCGGGGGTTGTTGGCAGTGTCACCGGGGGCAGTGTCAGTGCCACCCGGGGCAGTGTCAGTGTCACCGGGGGCAGTGTCAGTGTCACCCGGGCCGGGGCTGTGCGGGGCTGGCCGGGTGAGCCCCGGGCCGGAGGAACGCGCGGGGCGGGGGAGGCGCTGCAGGAGAGCAGTGCTGGCACGGGAGCGGCAGCGGGGCCGGGAGCAGCGGGGCTGCGGTGTGACACCTGCAGGGAGGGCTCGGCCAGCACGGCCCCGGCACCCTGGAGGGACGGCAGCGGTGCCAGGGCAGCGGGCACAGCCTGCCCAGAGACGGGGTGGGTGCCCATCCCTGTGTGCTCCGACAGCGCCACGCTGTGCCAGGGCTGGGGCTGGGGCTGGGGCTAGTGCCAGAGCTGGTGCCAGAGCTGGTACCAAACCTGGTACCAAACCTGGTGCCAGAGCTGGTACCAAACCTGGTACCAAACCTGGTGCCAGAGCTGGTGCCAGAACTGGTGCCGGTGCTGGTGGCAGAGCTGGTCCCGAGCTGGTGCTGGTACTGGTGCTGGTACCAAACCTGGTACCAAACCTGGTGCCAGAGCTGGTGCCAGAGCTGGTACCAAACCTGGTACCAAACCTGGTGCCAAACCTGGTGCCAGAGCTGGTACCAAACCTGGTGCCAAACCTGGTGCCAAACCTGGTACCAAACCTGGTGCCAGAGCTGGTGCCAAAGCTGGTGCCAAACCTGGTGCCAGAGCTGGTGCCAGAGCTGGTGCCGGTGCTGGTGGCAGAGCTGGTGGCAGAGCTGGTACTGGTACTGGTGCTGGTACCAAACCTGGTGCCAGAGCCGGTGCCAGAGCTGGTACTGGTACCAAAGCTGATGCTGGTACTGGTGCCAAAGCTGATACTGGTACTGGTGCCAACACTGGCCCTTTGTCCGGCAGCACCCGGTGCCAGCAGAGCAGAGCTGGCATGGCCAGCCCCAGGCAGTGCCAGGGCAGCCCCTGCAGATGTGAGCCACTAAAAATCTCCTCCCTGAGGAGAGCCCGCTGTGCCAGGGGCACCGGGGCAGGCTGAGGGCAGCTGGCACTGCCGTTGGGCACAGCTTGGCCTCAGGGGTGCCCAGCACCCGTGCCCAGGTGGGCAGGCTGTGCCCGTGGGGTCTTGCCATGGTCAGTGCTGTGAGAGGGCACAGGGAGCTAGGTGGGCACAGCCCTGTGGGGACGGGTGTCACGGTGTGGGTGAGCTGTGCCAGGCCGTGCCAGGCTGTGCCAGGCTGTCCTGTGCTGCGCCGTGCCATGCAGTGCCATGCCATGGCTCCAGCACTGGCATCCCCAGTGCCAGCTGTGCCTGGCAGAGGGACACCCCTGTCAGGGGGTGACAGGGGCACCTTCCCCGGGCTGGGGTGGGCACAGGAGTCCCCAGCCCCGTGTGCCACCCCCCGTCACGCCCTTGGAGAGTGTCCCCAGTGTCCCTCGGTGTCCCCAGGGCAGCAGGGAGGGCACAGGGAGTGTCCCCAGTGTCCCTTGGTGTCTCAGGGAGTGTCCCCAGTGTCCCTCGGTGTCCCCAGGGCAGCAGGGAGGGCACGGGGAGTGTCCCCAGTGTCCCTTGGTGTCTCAGGGAGTGTCCCCAGTGTCCCTCGGTGTCCCCAGGGCAGCAGGGAGGGCACAGGGAGTGTCCCCAGTGTCCCTTGGTGTCTCAGGGAGTGTCCCCAGTGTCCTTCGGTGTCCCCAGGGCAGCAGGGAGGGCATAGGGAGTGTCCCCAGTGTCCCTTGGTGTCTCAGGGAGTGTCCCCAGTGTCCCTCGGTGTCCCCAGGGCAGCAGGGAGGGCACAGGGAGTGTCCCCAGTGTCCCTTGGTGTCTCAGGGAGTGTCCCCAGTGTCCCTCGGTGTCCCCAGGGCAGCAGGGAGGGCACAGGGCCGTGCAGAGCAGCCTCCTCAGCGGGGCCCAGCGCAGGCAGGGAGCAGCAGGAAGGCAGAGCCCGTTCCCAGAGCCCGTCCTGGGGCTGGAGCTGCAGGAAGCGCCGCTGGGGGGGCAGGAAGGGACAGCGGGGCCGGGAGGGGACAGGGATGGGGACAGGAGGGAACAGGGACAGGGCTGGGACGGGGACAGGGACAGGGACACGAGGGGACAGGGATAGGGACGGGAAGGGGAGACTGGGACGGGAAGGGGACAGGTCACTTGTCCCCTTCCCATCCAAAATCCCCAGAGCCTGCAGCCGCCCCGAGTGTCCCCAGCCCCGCTGTCCCGGGTGTCCCAAACCCCTCTGCCCCGAGTGTCCCCAGCCCCGCTGTCCCGGGTGTCCCCAGCCCCGCTGTCCCGAGTGTCCCAAACCCCGCTGTCCCGAGTGTCCCAAACCCCGCTGCCCCGAGTGTCCCCAGCCCCGCTGTCCCGGGTGTCCCCAGCCCCGCTGCCCCGAGTGTCCCCAGCCCCGCTGTCCCGAGTGTCCCCAGCCCCGCTGTCCCGAGTGTCCCCAGCCCCGCTGTCCCGGCTCCTTCCCGTTTCCTGCCGTTTCCTCTCCCGGCCCCTGCATTGTTCTCACACGGATGCGGCCCCGGCAGCGGCGGGAGCGGGGCCAGGGGTGCCGGGACCCCTCAGCTGCATTGGGACCCCTCAGCTGCATGGGGAGTGGCACTGGGACCCCTCAGCTGCATGGAGAGTGACACCCAGGACCCCTCAGCTGCATTGGGACCCCTCAGCTGCATGGGGAGTGGCACTGGGACCCTCTCAGGGACAGGGGGTGCGGCAGTGTCTGGGTTTGGGACCTGTGCTAATCTGGGATCCATCCTGGTATGGGACCCCTCAGCTGCATGGGGACCCATCCTGGTTTAGGACCCATCCACATTTAGGACCAATCCCGGTCTGGGACCTGTCCTGGTCTGGAACCTGTCCTGATTTAGGACCCATCCTGATTTAGGACCTGTTGTGGTTTAGGACCCGTCCTGATCTGGGACCCATCCTGGTTTAGGGCCCATCCTGGTTTGGGACCTGTCCTGGTCCGAGCCCTGTCCTGGTTCAGGACCCATTCTGATCTGGGAGCTGTCCTGGTCTGGGACCCATCCCAGGCAGCCAATGGGGGTGACAGGCCAGGGGTGACAGGCCAGGGTGTCCTGTGCCCCGTGGCACCAGTGGGTACCTCATGGAGGAAGCAGTGCCCGTCACCTGCCGTGCCCCTGTAGCTCATGCCCTGGTGCCAGCGGCCCCTGGCAGTGGGCAGCACCTGAGCTCACACCAAGGCCCCCAGCTGTACCATGTCCCCTCCTGGGCTGTCATCAAACGGGACATTGTGGCACCTGTACTTCACTGGGGACAGGCAGGGAGGGTCCACTGCCCACCGTGCCACCCTGGCATCATGCTGTGCCACCCCGGCATCACGCTGTGCTGTGGGAGAGCGCCAGGGCCACCTGGAGGGAGTGGCAGCAGCTCCAGGGTCTGTCTGGGAGTGCTCAGGGCCAGGGCTGGGCTGGGCTGGGCTGTGCCTGTCACACACACACACCTGTCATATACACACCTGTCACACACACACACCTGTCACATATACACTTGTCACACACACCTGTCACACACACACTCCTGCCATATGCACCTGTCACACACATGCACCTCTGACACACACGCGCACACACACATCACACACCTGTCACACACACGCACATCACCTGTCACACACATATACTCCTGTCACATACACCTCTCATACATGCACCCTGTCACATACACACCTGTCACATACACACGTGTCACACACACACCTGTCACATACACATGTGTGTCACACACACACACCTGTCACATACACCTGTCTCTCTCACGCACACACACCTGTCACACACACTCACACCTGTACGTTTGATACTCCTGAGAGTGCCATGGTGGGGTGTCCTGCTCCTCAGGGTGACACAGCAGCATGTCCTGCTCATGAGGGTGTCACACCCGTGTGTCCTGGCCCTGGGGCTGCTGTGCCACTGTGTCCTGGTCCCAAGGATGTCACACCCATGTGTCCTGGCCCTGGGGCTGCTGTGACACCGTGTCCTGGTCCCAAGGGTCCCCTTCCAAGGGTCCCTTTGGCAGGCAGCAGCACCTGTCACACCTGGCATGCACGGGGTGGGACTGGGTGTCCTGGTCCCAGGCAGCAGCACCTGTCACACCTGTCCTGGCCCCAGGGTCCCTTTGGCATGCCTGGCACACCCGAGGTGGCACTGGCTGTCCTGGCCCCAGGGTCCCTTTGGCATGCCTGGCACACCCGCGGTGGCACTGTCCCTTTCCGGCACGATGCGCTGCTGTCCCCCCCTCTGTACCATCACCAAGCAGCCCTTCCCTGTCCCAGCAGGCGGAGAGCAGTGACAGCCCCAAGGACACGGCGGCCGCCCCCAAGTGCCCCCCGGCGTGCCCCGAGGCCGGCCCCGCCGAGCCGCTGCCCAACGGGGACGTGGAGGGCGACGCCGAGGAGGCCGGGGGCAGCCCCAAGGGCGGGCGGCCCGAGGAGGACGAGGCCGAGAGCCCCGCGGCCGGGGAGGCGGGCCGGGCCCTGGAGAACGGCCGCTGCACGCCCAAGGAGGGGCTGGACGCGCCCGCCGACGACGGCGACACGGCCCCCTCCGACCCCCAGAAGAAACGCGGCAGGAGGAAACTCCTGGAGGGAGCTGAGAAAGGTGAGAGTGAGGCAATGGGGAATCCTGTGGGACACCAGGGACCCCCAGAGACCCCCAGGGACACCAGGGACCCCCAGAGACCCCCAGGGACACCCAGGGAGCCCCAGGGACCCCCTAGGGACACCAGGGACCCCCAGAGACACCCAGGGACACCCAGGGAGCCTCAGCCCCTCCGACCCCCAGAAGAAACGCGGCAGGAGGAAACTCCTGGAGGGAGCTGAGAAAGGTGAGAGGGAAACCCTGGGGGCTCCTGCTACAGGGACTGGACCCTGGGGACACCAGGGACCCCCCCCCCCCCCCCAGAGCCCCCCCAGCTCCACAGGGACCCCCAGGGACCCCCAGCCCCTCAGGGATCCCCAGAGACCCCCAGGGACCTCCAGGGACCCTCAGAGACCCCCCAGCCCTCCAGAGACCCCCAGCCCCTCAGGGACCCCCAGCCCCTCAGGGACCCCCCAGCCCTCCAGAGACCCCCAGCCTCTCAGAGACCCCCAGCCCCTCAGGGACCCCCAGCCCTCCAGAGACCCCCAGCGCCTCAGGGACCCCCAGCCCCTCAGGGACCCCCCAGCCCCTCAGAGACCCCCCAGCCCTCCAGAGACCCCCAGCCCCTCAGGGACCCCCCAGCCCCTCAGGGACCCCCAGCCCCTCAGGAATCCCCCAGCCCCACTGTCCTGCTCCACGAGGGCTCTGGGCTGGGCAGCACTGCTGCAGGAGGAGGAGGAGGAGGAGGAGGAGGAGGAGGAGGAAGGGCTGATGCCCTCCATGCCATGCAGGATTTGGGGTGGGGGGCTGTTCCCACACCCTGCTGAGGGGTCAGCCCCGGCCTGGCTGGGGCGCGGCTCAGCACAGGGGTCCTGGGGGTCCCAGGGCATTTCTGGCCCGTGTCAGGGGGTGCCCAGGTAGTGCAGCCCCCCTGTAGATCCTGGCCCGACGCTGGGTGCCCAGGACACCAGGGACAGGGACAGGGACAGGCTGGGGACAGCCCCGAGCAGCCCCTGATTCGGGGATCACCTGCAGGGAGGGCTCTGACGGTGAACCCCACGCTCCTGGGGACAGGAGCTCACCTGCTGGAGCCCAGGTGCTCCCTCTGGAGCCCGGGACAGCCTTGTCAGCATTCCCAGCTCTGGCACTGGGGCCTTCCTGGCTGGAATCATCACAGACCGACCGGCCATGCCGAGCCAGGGAGGGTCTGGATGGACAGGGAGCTGGGAGGGAGCTGGAAGGGGCTGGGATGGAATGGAAAAGGCAGGGATGGAGGTGGCAGAGGCAGGCATGGCCAGAGCAGGCAGGGATGGCTGGGACAGGCAGGGACAGAGCTGGAAGAGTCAGGGATGGAGCTGAAATAGGCAGGGACGGAACTGGGGCAGGCCGGGATGCAGCTGGCAGAGCTGGGATGCAGCTGGCAGAGGCAGGGATGGCTGGGACAGGCAGGAATGCAGCTGGCAGAGCTGGGATGGCTGGGGCAGGCTGGCATGGCAGAGCTGGGATGGCTGGGGCAGGCAGGAATGCAGCTGGCAGAGCTGGGATGGCAGGGACAGGCTGGCATGGCAGAGCTGGGGTGCAGCTGGCAGAGGCAGGGATGGCAGGGACATGCAGGGATGCAGCTGGCAGAGGCAGGGATGGCAGGGACAGGCTGGCATGGCAGAGCTGGGGTGCAGCTGGCAGAGCTGGGATGGCTGGGGCAGGCTGGCATGGCAGAGCTGGGGTGCAGCTGGCAGAGGCAGAGGCAGAGGCAGGCCTGGCGGGATGGATGCACGGACGAGCCGCACGCTGCAGATGCTGCCGCAGTCACGAGGCGCAGCCGCAGCCGCGCTCGGGGGGGGGAGCGGGAGCGGGGGGAGCCCCGGGCGGCCCCAGGGCAAACGGACCCGGCCGGGGCTGCGGGAACGGGAACAGCAGGAGCGGGGGGAGCCCCGGGCAGCCCGAGGGAAAATGGACCCGGCCGGGGCTGCGGGAACGGGAACGGAAACGGGAACGGCTGGAGCGGGGGGAGCCCCGGGCAGCACCAGGGCAAACGGACCCGGCCGAGGCTGCGGGAATGGAGGGTGCGGTGTGGGAGCGGTACCGGGAGCCGGGGCTGCTGTGAGGCTGCCGGGAACAAGCTCCATCCATCCATCCATCCATCCATCCATCATCCATCCATCCATCCATCATCCATCATCCATCCATCCATCCATCCATACCTCCATCCATCCATCCATCCATCATCCATCCATCATCCATCATCCATCCATCCCTCCATCCATCCATCCATCCATCCATCCATCCATCCATCATCCATCATCCATCCATCATCCATCCATCCATCCATCCATCATCCATCCATCCATCCATCCATCCATCCATCCATCATCCATCCATCATCCATCCATCCATCCATCCACCCATCCATCCATCATCCATCCATCCATCCACCCATCCATCCATCAGCCATCCATCCATCCATCCATCCATCCATCATCCATCCATCCATCATCCATCCATCCATCCATCCATCCATCATCCATCATCCATCCATCCATCCCTCCATCCCTCCATCCCTCCATCCATCCATCCATCCATCCATCCATCATCCATCCATCCATCCCTCTATCCATCCATCCATCATCCATCCATCATCCATCCATCCATCCATCCATCCATCCATCCATCAGCCATCCATCCATCCATCCATCCATCATCCATCCATCATCCATCCATCCATCCATCCACCCATCCATCCATCCATCATCCATCCATCCATCCACCCATCCATCCATCAGCCATCCATCCATCCATCCATCCATCCATCCATCATCCATCCATCCATCCATCCATCCACCCATCCATCCATCAGCCATCCATCCATCCATCCATCCATCCATCATCCATCCATCCATCCATCCATCCATCCATCCATCATCCATCCATCCATCCATCTGTCCATCCATCCATCCCAGTGTCACACTGTGCCCCCCCAGTGCCCGTGCCAACTGCAGGGCACTCTCCCGGTGTCACACTGTGCCACCCCAGTGCCCGTGCCAGCCCGTGGGTGCCCGCAGTGGGGGTGAGCCCCCCGTCCCCGCCGCCCCCGCGGTTCTCAGCCCCCGGAACCCTCGGTTTATTTTTAGCCGCTTTCCCGGCAGCGCTCTCGGAGCCGCCGCGCCGCGGATGTGCCGAGCACAGGAAGCAGCGGCGGGGCTGCGCCGCTTCCCCTGCCCGCGGGGGGGTCCCTGCCCCGGACCCCCAAAAACCCGCCCGGCACGGGGGCTCCGGGGGGCTCGGCACGGGCTTGGGGGGCTCTGGATGGGCTGGGGGAGCCCCCTCTCCCCTCTGGAGCCCTGGGTGAGGGTCCCATTGCCCTGCAGGGTCCCGGTGGGGGTCCCATTGCCCTGCAGGGTCCCGGGTGGGGGTCCCATCTCTCCCTGGAGCTCTGGGTGGGGGTCCCATCCATCCCTGGAGCCCTGGGTGTGGGTCCCATGGCCCTGTGTGGGTCTGGGGGGTCCCAGCCCCACACTGGCACTGATGCCATCACCGCTCTCTGTTCCGTGTGCAGGCAAGGACGAGAAGGAGGAAAACAACAACTTCGACAGCCTGAAAATGGAGGCAAGTACGGCCTGGGGCTGCTCCCTGCGAGGATGGGCACGGGAGATGGGCATGGCACACCCAGGGGATGGGCACAGCCCCACAGACACCCCAGGAAATGGGCACAGCACACCCCAGATGGGCACAGCCCCATAGCCCACCCTAGGAGATGGGCATGGCACACCCAGGGGATGGGCACAGCCCCACAGACACCCCTGGAGGTGGCACAGCCCCACAGCCCCCCAGGCAGTGTGGTGCCCCTCATGCCCACGGGCGCCATCTCCCCCTGCTCCCTCAGCCCCAGGCAGATCTGTGCCTACATGGTGCCAGGGGTGCCCATCAAGGTGCAGCTGTGATGCCATGGCCTCCAGGGCATGTGCTGTGCCCCCTGTGCCATGTCCCTGTGCAGTGCCCTCATCCCTCTCTCTCCCCTGTGCCATGTCCCCTGTGCCATGTCCCCTGTGCAGTGCCCCGTGCAGTGCCCTCACCCGTCTCTCTCCCCTGGCAGTGCCCTCATCCCTGGCAGTGCCCTCATCCCTGTCTCTGCCCTGGCAGTGCCTTGGCAGTGCCCTGACCCCTGGTAGTGCCCTGACCTCTCTCTCTGCACCCTGGCAGTGCCCTGACCCCTGGTAGTGCCCTGGCAGTGCCCTGACCCCCATCTCTGTGCCCTGGCAGTGCCCAGCAGTGCCCTGACCCCCCTCTCACCCCTGGCAGTGCCCTGGCAGTGCCCAGCAGTGCCCTGACCCCCCTCTCACCCCTGGCAGTGCCCTGGCAGTGCCCAGCAGTGCCCTGACCCCTCTCTCACCCCTGGCAGTGCCCTGGCAGTGCCCAGCAGTGCCCTGACCCCCCTCTCACCCCTGGCAGTGCCCTGGCAGTGCCCAGCAGTGCCCTGACCCCTCTCTCACCCCTGGCAGTGCCCTGGCAGTGCCCAGCAGTGCCCTGACCCCCTCTCCCCGCAGGGCTCGCGGGGGCGGCTCCGGGGCGGGCTGGGCTGGGAGTCCAGCCTGCGGCAGCGGCCCATGCAGCGGCACACCTTCCAGGCCGGGGACCCCTACTACATCAGCAAGAGGAAACGCGACGAGTGGCTGGCACGCTGGAAGAGGGAGGTGAGCCTGGCACCCGCGGGGCGGGCACGTGGGGACGGCGAGCCCCGAGGCTGCCGTGGGGCCGGCGGGGTGGGCACCGAGCCCCGAGGCTGCCGTGGCACCGGCGGGGTGGGCACCGAGCCCCGAGGGTCCCGTGGCATCGGCGGGGCGGGCATGTGGGGACGGCGAGCCCCGAGGGTCCCGCGGCATCACCGGGGTGGGCGCACGGGGCCACCGAGCCCCGAGGCTGCCGTGGCATCGGCGGCGCAGAGCCTGGGCCGGGACCCGCCGGGCACGCGGGGGACGGCGGCACAGAGCGCACGGGGCTCGCATGGGCACACGGGACGTGCTGGCGTGGCCGTGCCCTGGGGCCGGTGGAAAGGGTGCTCCGTGCTGCCGGTGGTGTCACTGCCCCCCAGCACCTGAGCCTGGCACCCCCCGAGCCCATTCCTCGCCCCTGTGCCCCCGGGATTGCCCTCTCTTGGCAGCCGTGGGCAGCAGACCCGTCCTTGTCCCACGGGATGTGCCCCCGTTCCTGCCCCCGGGGTGGGATGTGCCACCCGTTCCCTGGCGTGTGCCACAGCCGGGCTCCTGGCGGGAGCCTGGCATGGGCACAGCACGGCCACGGTGCCAACAGCTGCTCGTGGGCAGCAGGGACAGGGGCTCTGTGGGTGCCCCGTGTCCCCACCACAGCCCTCACCCCGTTCTCACCATTGTCCCCACTGCCAGCGGGTCTCCCTGGCTGTGTGTCCCCTCGTGCCACCTCCTGGGCACTGTTTGTAGCCCTGCTGCCAAGCACCCTCCTGCTGGCACCCACAGGGACGGTGGCACAGCCAGGGCGTCCCACTGGGCATGGCTGATACGGCCGGGCCATGCCATGGGCACAGGGCATGTCTGACACAGCCACGGTGTCCCCACAGGGCACAGCTGGCACATTCTCAGTGCCCCACAGGGCATGGCTGACACAGCCACGGTGTCCCCATGGGACACAAGGCACAGCTGGTGCATTCACAGTGTCCCACAGGGCACAGCTGGTGCATTCACAGTGTCCCCATGGGGCACAGGACATGGCTGGCATGGCCACAGTGTCCCCACGGGTCAGTGCAGGGACACAGCTGGGGGCAGCATGGGGACAGGGACACCCAGGGTCAGTGCAGTGACATGGACACCTGGGGACAGCACAGGGACACCCGGGGACAGCACAGGGACACCCAGGGTCAGTGCAGGGACATGGACACAGGGACAGGGACACCCAGGGTCAGTGCAGGGACACCCAGGGTCAGTGCAGGGACATGGACACCTGGGGACAGCATAGGGACACCCAGGGTCAGTGCAGGGACACCCGGGGTCAGTGCAGGGACACCCAGGGTCAGTGCAGGGACATGGACACAGGGACAGGGACACCCAGGGTCAGTGCAGGGACACCTGGGGACAGCACAGGGACACCCAGGGTCAGTGCAGGGACACCCGGGGTCAGTGCAGGGACACGGACACAGGGACAGGGACACCCAGGGCAGGCGCTGTCCCTCTCATGTCCACGCTGGGACCCCTCAGGCTGGCACCCCCCACCCCGTGCCAGCTGTGGAGATGAGGACAGAGGGATGGTGGGACCGTGGGTTGGGATGAAGATGAAGGAGATGGGGCAAGGGATGAAGGATGGGATGGAATGGAATGGAATGGAATGGAATGGAATGGAATGGAATGGAATGGAATGGAATGGAGAGGGAGAGGGATGGGGATGAAGGTGGAATGAGAACGGGATGAGGATGGAATGGGATTGGGGATGGGGCAAAGGATGGAGGATGGGGGGGATGGGGATGGGGTGACAATGCAGGTGGAATGAGGATGAGGGTGGGGATAGAATGGGTTTGGGGATGGGGATGAGGGTGACAATGCTGGTGGAATGAAGATGGAGATGAGGGTGGGGGTGAGGCAAGGACAGGGCTGGGGGATGGGGCAGGGACTGGGGACAGAATGGGTTTGGGGATGGGGTGACAATGCAGGTGGAATGAGGATGAGGATGAGGGTGGGGGAGAGGCAAGGACAGGGACTGGGGATGAGGCAGGGACTGCGGGTGGGGATGGGGGGTGGAATGAGATTGGGGATGGGGGATAGAGTGGGGATGGGCATGGGGATGAGGGTGATAATGCAGGTGGAATGATGATGAGGATGAGGGTGGGAGTGAGGCAAGGACAGGGACTGGGGATGGGGCAGGGACTGGGGACAGAATGGGTTTGGGGATGGGGTGACAATGCAGGTGGAATGAGGATGAGGATGAGGGTGGGGATAGAATGGGGATGGGGATGGGGATGGGGTGACAATGCAGGTGGAATGAGGATGAGGATGAGGGTGGGGGTGAGGCAAGGACAGGGCTGGGGGATGGAGCTGAGGATGAGGATGGGGGTGGGGGTGGCCAGGGCTGCCAGCGCTGCCGGTGGCCCCGGGGCAGAGATCAGGGATCGCTTGGGACAATTGTCCGGCGGGGATACCCCGCCGATGTCCCTTAACGACCGGCGATGGGACATTTCCTGTCCCCGGGGCAGAGCGGGGCCAGGCGGGACCGGCACCGAGGGGGGGACGCGGGGTCCTGCTGTGACCCTGCCCGGGACACCCCGGGTGTCACCCACCCCGTGTCCTTCGGGCCAGGGCCACTCGTGTCCCCAGACACGCCGGGTCCCCAAAGCCCGAGCAGGGCTGGCAGGGCAGAGATCCCGCTGCCCCCCCAGGGGTGGCACCAGCCCCCCTTGGCACACAGAGGGGACCCGGGGACACCCTGGGGACACCGGGGATGGCAGGGCGTGTCCTGGGGTGCAGGGACCCTGAGTCTGTCCCGTCCGTACCGGGCCGAACCGGGACAGCGGGGCGGTGCCAGCGCCGGGCCAGTGACTGTATGGGCTGAACTGGGAACTGTGACCAGTGACTGTATGGGCTGAACTGGGCTGAACTGGGCAGTGTGACCCCAGACCAGTGTTTCTACTGGGCTGAACTGGGCAGAGTGACCAGTGTCCATCCCGGGCTAACTGGACAGTGTGCCCGGTGTCCATCCCGGGCTGACCAGGCAGTGTGCCCGGTGTCCATCCCGGGCTGACTGGGCAGAGTGACCGGTGTCCATCCCGGGCTGACCGGGCAGAGTGACCGGTGTCCATCCCGGGCTGACCAGGCAGTGTGTGCCCGGTGTCCATCCCAGGCTGACCGGGCAGTGTTACCGGTGTCCATCCCAGGCCAAACCGGGCAGTGTGCCCGGTGTCCATCCCTATCTGAACCGGGCAGTGTCACCGGTGTCCATCCCGGGCTGACCGGGCAGAGTGACCGGTGTCCATCCCAGGCTCACCGGGCAGTGTGCCCGGTGTCCATCCTGCCTGGCCCGGCCGGTGCCCCCCCCCACTCCCAGTCCCCAACTGGTGGCACTGGTGGCGGCACTGGTGGCACTGGTGCGGGGGGCGGGGGCGGCTCCCGCCGTGCGGGGCGAGGCCCCCGGGGCGCCGCCGCCCCCGCCCCGTCCCGGCGCTCCGCACAAAGGCCGGGGGGCCGCGGCCCCGGGACAAAAGGCGGCGGGAGCGGCCCCGGGCGTGCGGCGCAGCCAGCCCGGAGCGGAGCGCGGCCCGTGAGTACCGGAGGGACGGGCCGGCACCGGGGCACGGGCGGGACGGCGGGGTTGGGCCGAGGAGCACCGCCACGGGGACTGCGATCACACCGGGAGGACACCGGGACAGCGGGACCGGGACCGGAGCGCTCGGGGCCGTTCGGTTCCGTGCCGGGACTCCGCTCGGGTTCGTTCGGTTCTGCTCGAAACCGCTCGGTTCTGCTCGGAACCGCTCGTATCCGTCCCGGAGGCCGCTCGGCTCTCTCCGTTCTGCTCGGCTCCGCTCGGTTCCGTTCGGTCCGTCCCGAACCTTTCGGTTCTGCCCGGTCCCTTCGGTTTCGCTCCGTTCCCTTCGGGTCCGGCCCGAGCGCCGTTCGGGTCTCTTCGGCTCCTCTGGGTCTTTCCGATTCCGCTCGGCTCTTTTCGGTTCCGCTCGGTTCCGCTCGGGCCCTTTCGGTTCCCCCTCGGTCCCGGTCCGGCCCGTGCCCCCCGCGCCCCCCAGCGCAGCCAACCAGCCGGGCCGGGAGGCACCACGTGACCCGGAGCCCAGACAAAGGGCCGCCGGGCTGACCCGCACCGGCCCGGCCGGCTCCGCGCGTTCCGGCTCCGCGCGTTCCGCCCCGGCCCGGGCCCGGCCGCTCCCGCGGGTACGTGAGCGGCACCGGCACCGGCAGCACCGCGGGCCGGGCCGCACGGGGAGAGCCCGCCGGGGCCGGGGGGCTCGAGGGGGAGCACCCGGAGAGGGTAACATAGACCGGGATGCGCTGCGAGGGTGCCGGGATAATAACAGAGAGTACCGGGATGGGCTCTGGGGTACCGGGATGGGCTCAGGGCCACCCGGGATAAGCGCAGAGGTTACCGGGATGGGCCCAGGGGTCACGGGAGGGTACCGGGAGAAGCACCGAAGGTACCGGGATGGGCTCGGGGAGTACCGGGATAAGCACAAAGAGTACCGGGAAAAGCACCGACGGTACCGGGATGGGCCCAGAGGTCACGGGATAAGCGCTGGGGGTACCGGGATGGGCTCAGGGGGTACCGGGATAAGCACCGCGGGTACCGGGATGCGTGTGGGGGTCACGGGACGGGCTCGGCGATACCGGGATGGGCTCGAGGGGTACCGGGATAAGTACAGAGAGTACCGGGATGGGCTCGGGGGGTCCTGGCATGGGCCCCGGGACTCCCGGGATAAACACCGAGGGTACCAGGGGTCCCGGATGGGCTCGGGGGTCACGGGATAAGCACAGGGGGTACCGGGATGGGCTCGGGGGTCCTGGCATGGACCCCAGGGTAAGTCCCGGGGGTCAGCGGGGGAAACTGAGGCACGGGCGGTGGCCGCCATCCCCGCGGCGGGCTCCCCGGGCCCCGATGCCGTGCCATGCCCCGGTGCCATGCCGTGCCATTCCGTTCCCCAGGCCGAGAAGAAAGCCAAGGTGATCGCCGTGATGAACGTGGTGGAGGAGCCGGCGCGGGCCGAGGCGCAGAAGGAGGAGGAGGCCAGCCCGCCCCCCGGGCCGCAGCAGCCCACCGACCCCGCCTCGCCCAGCGTGGCCACCACGCCCGAGCCCGCCGTGGCCGAGGCCGGCGACAAGAACGCCTCCAAGTCGGCCGACGACGAGCCCGAGTACGAGGTGAGGGCAGAGCCGGGCCCTGGGGACACTGCCAGGCTGTGGGGACACTCCCGAGCTGTGGGGGGACACTGCTGAGCCGTGGGGGGGCACTGCCAAGCCCGGGAGGTGACGCTGCCGAGCCATAGGGACATCCCGGGTCACCGGCTCTACCTGTGGAAGCAGAACTCCCTCTGCACCCTGCCAGGAGCCGGCCCTGCCTCCAGGTGGGGCAGGAGGGGAGCCCGGTGGCACCGTGCTGACCCCGCCCTGTCCCTGTCCCCAGGACGGGCGCGGGTTCGGCATCGGCGAGCTGGTGTGGGGCAAGCTGCGCGGCTTCTCCTGGTGGCCCGGGCGCATCGTGTCCTGGTGGATGACCGGCCGCTCCCGCGCCGCCGAGGGCACGCGCTGGGTCATGTGGTTCGGGGACGGCAAGTTCTCCGTGGTAGGTGGCACCCGGGGAGGGGAGGGGACACCATTGAGGGGTGAGTGGCACCCCGAGGGGTTAGGGGGACACCCCAGGGGGTTAGGGGACACCATTGAGGGGTAGGGGACACCATTGAGGCGTAAGTGACATCCTGGGAGGGGAGGGGACACCATTGAGGGGTAGGGGACACCCCAGGGGGTTAGGGGACACCCCAGGGGGTTAGGGGACACCATTGAGGGGTAGGGGACACCATTGAGGGGTAGGGGACACCCGAGGGGTTAGGGGGACACCCCAGGGGGTTAGGGGACACCGTTGAGGGGTAGGGGACACCATTGAGGGGTAAGTGACACCCCGAGGGAGTAAGGGACACCATTGAGGGGTAGGGGACACCATTGAGGGGTAAGTGACACCCCAGGGTGCTAAGTGACACCCCTCAGGGGTATCAGGGTAAGTGACACCCCAGGGGGGTAGGGGACACCATTGAGGGGTAAGTGACACCCTGAGGGGGTAGGGGACACCCCGTGGGGGTAGGTGACACCCCAGGGTGGTAAGTGGCACCCCGTGGTAGTAAGTGACACCCCTTGGGGGTAGGTGACACCCACAGGGGTGAGTGACACCCCGGGGTGGTGAGTGGCACCCCAGGGGGGTAAGTGACATCCCATGGGGGTAAGTGACACCCCTCGGGGGTATCAGGGGTAAGTGACACCCCAGGGGGGTAAGGGACACCATTATGGGGTAAGTGACACCCTGAGGGGGTAGGGGACACCCCTCGGGGATAGGTGACACCTCTCAGGGGTAAGTGGCACCCTAAGGTGGTAGGTGACACCCTGGGGTGGTAGGTGACATCCCTCAGGGGTAAGGGACACCCTGCAGTGGTAAGTGGCACCCCAGGGTGGTAAGTGACACCCCTCAGGGGTAGGTGGCACGCTGGGGTGACGGTATTGGCAGCAGGTAACGATGGGTGATGGGTGGCAGTGGGTGACAGTGAGTGACACCGGTGTCCCCGTGGCTGTCCCCTGTCCCTCCCCAGGTGTGCGTGGAGAAGCTGCTGCCCCTGAGCTCCTTTGCCAGCGCCTTCCACCAGGCCACCTACAACAAGCAGCCCATGTACCGCAAGGCCATCTACGAGGTGCTGCAGGTGAGGGGACGCTGCCCGGCCCTGGGGACATGGCTGAGCCTGTGGGGGACACTGCCGAGGCAGCAGGGACACTGCTGAGCCGTGGGGACACTGCAGAGCCAGGGAGGGATGCTGCCAGGTTGGGGGGACAGTGCCGAGCCATGGCGGGTGACACTGCCGAGCCATGGGGACATCCCGGGTTACTGGCTCCACCTGTGGGAGCAGCAGCTCCCTCTCCACCCTGCCAGGACCCGGCCCTGCCTCCCCTCCTGCCCCACCTGGAGGTCTCTCAGGGGGTGTGGGGGACCCCCAAAGGACGTGTGTGCTCCCTGAGGGGGCTTTGGGGTGTCTGGGATCAGCTGTCCCACCCTGGGGGGACCCTGGCTGTGGGTCCCGTGTGAGAGCAGCCCGGGGGACCCCCGAGGACAGGCTGGTGACACCTGTGACACCTGCACCCCCCCAGGTGGCCAGCAGCCGGGCAGGGAAGATCTTCCCGGCCTGCCCCGAGAACGACGAGAGCGACACGTCCAAGGTGGTGGAGATCCAGAACAAGCAGATGATCGAGTGGGCCCTGGGCGGCTTCCAGCCCTCGGGGCCCAAGGGGCTGGAGCCCCCCGAGGGTGAGCGGGGGCTGGGGACACTCCTGGGGTGGGCAGGGGGGTGCCAGGGGGCTGGGGGGACGCACCCCGGTGGTGTGACCCGATGGGGGGACAGGACTGGGGACGCTCACAGGGTGTCACCAGGGTGGTCAGGGGGGCTGGGGGGACGCACCCTGGTGGCGTGACCCGATGTGGGGACACCGCTGATGGCACCGCCGGTGACCCCCAGAGGAGAGGAACCCCTACAAAGAAGTTTACACGGAGATGTGGGTGGAGCCCGAGGCCGCCGCCTATGCGCCGCCCCCGCCCGCCAAAAAACCCCGCAAAAGCACAACCCAGGAGAAGCCCAAGGTCAAGGAGATCATCGACGAGCGCACCCGAGGTACCCCCGTGCCCGCCCTCCTCTCTGGGGGTCCCTCCCTTGGCCCCCCGGCCGGGGCAGCCCCCTGACGGTTCCCTGTTCCCCAGAGCGGCTGGTGTACGAGGTGCGGCAGAAGTGCAGGAACATCGAGGGTGAGTGTGGGGCTGCGGGGCTGTCCCTGCCTGCCTGGGCACACCCCGTGCCAGGGGATGGGCTGGGGGGGCTGTCCCTGCCTGTCTGGGCACACCCCGTGCCAGGGGATGGGCTGGGGGGGCTGTCCCTGCCTGTCTGGGCTGGGGGCTCTGTCCCTGCCTGCCTGGGCACACCCCGTGCCAGGGGATGGGCTGGGGGGGCTGTCCCTGCCTGTCTGGGCACACCCCGTGCCAGGGGATGGGCTGGGGGGGCTGTCCCTGCCTCTCTGTGCTGGGGGCTCTGTCCCTGCCTGTCCAGGTATGGGGGTCTGTCCCTGCCTGTCGGGGCACATCCTGCACCAGGGGATGGACTGGGGGGTCTGTCCTTGTCTGCCTGGGCTGGAGGGACTGTCCCTGCCTGCTCGGGCATGTCCTGCAATCGGGTATGGGCTGGGGGGCTGTCCCTGCCTGCCTGGGCACACCCTGTGCCACGGGATGGGCTGGGGGTCTGTCCGTGCCTCTCTGAGCTGGGAATCTGTCCCTGCCTGTCTGGGCTGAGGGTCTGTCCCTGCCTGTCTGGGCACATCCCGCTCCTGGGGATGGGCTTGGGAGGCTGTCCCTGCCTGGGCACACCCTGCACCCGGGGATGGGCTGGGGGGGGTCTGTCCCTGCCTGTCCGGGTATGGGGCTCTGTCCCTGCCTGGGCACACCCTGCACCCGGGGATGGGCTGGGGGTCTGTCTCTGCCTGCCTAGGGATGGGCTGGGGGTCTGTCCCTGCCTCTCTGGGCTGGGGGTCTGTCTCTGCCTGCCTAGGGATGGGCTGGGGGTCTGTCCGTGCCTCTCTGGGCTGGGGGTCTGTCCCTGCCTGCCTAGGGATGGGCTGGGGGTCTGTCCCTGCCTCTCTGGGCTGGGGGTCTGTCCCTGCCTGCCTAGGGATGGGCTGGGGGTCTGTCCCTGCCTCTCTGGGCTGGGGGTCTGTCCCTGCCTGCCTAGGGATGGGCTGGGGGTCTGTCCCTGCCTCTCTGGGCTGGGGGTCTGTCTCTGCCTGCCTAGGGATGGGCTGGGGGTCTGTCCCTGCCTGCCTAGGGATGGGCTGGGGGTCTGTCCGTGCCTAGGGATGGGCTGGGGGTCTGTCCCTGCCTGCCTGGGCTGGGCTGGGGGATGTCTGTCCCTGCCTCTCTGGGCGCCTCAGGGCACAAGGGGGCACACAGGGCTGTGGGGCAGCTCAAGGGAGGAAGGCCAGGCTTGTCCCACCCCTCAGCCTGGCTGGCAGAGGGACAGCAGCTGTGAGGTGGCAGGGCCCACCCACCCTGGATCGTGGGTGGCAGGGACCCCCAGGGTGGTGGCAGGGACCCCTCGGGGCTGTTGGGGTCTGGGGTGGGGCTGGAGGGCACTGGGGGTCCTGCCTGCTGCTGCCAGGGTGGTGCCCAGCTCTGCTGTGACCCCAGCATGGGCTGAGCGTGTCCTGGGGACTGCAGGACAAGGGGTGAGAGTGTCCCCACCATGCTGGGGGGGTGCCAGGGTGGTGGCTCAGGGTGTCCCCATGCCAGTCTGGGGTGCCAGGGTGATGGCTCAGGGTGTCCCCATGCCAATGTGGGGTGCCAGGGTGATGGTTTGGGATGTCCCCACACTGGTGTGGGGTGCCAGGGCAATGGCTCGGGGTGTCCCCACCATGCTGGGGTGCCAGGGTGATGGGTCAGGGTGTCCCCATGCTGGGTTGGGATGTCCCCACGCTGGGGTGGAGTGCCAGGGTGATGGCTCAGGATGTCCCCACGCTGAGTGGGGTGCCATGGCAATGGCTTGGAGTGTCCCCACACTGGTGTTAGGTGCCAGGGCAATGGGTCAGGGTGTCCCCATGCCAGGGTGATGGTTTGGGGTGTCTCCATGCCAATGTGGTGTGCCAGAGTGATGGGTCAGGGTGTTCCCATGTCGGGTTGGGCTACCAGGGTGATGGCTCAGGGTGTCCCCACGCTGGGGTAGGGTGCCAGGGCAATGGGTCAGGGTGTCCTCATGCCAATGTGGGGTGCCAGGGCAATGTCTCCCCTTCTCCCCAGACATCTGCATCTCCTGCGGGAGCCTCAACGTGACCCTGGAGCACCCTCTGTTCATCGGGGGCATGTGCCAAAACTGCAAGGTACGGGCTGGGGCGCGGCCTGGGGGGCTCACGGGGTGTGCCCCGCCCCGAGGGGGGGTCCCCAGCGTCCCCAGGCCCCGGTGACACCCCGGCTGTCCCCAGAACTGCTTCCTGGAGTGCGCGTACCAGTACGACGACGACGGCTACCAGTCCTACTGCACCATCTGCTGCGGCGGCCGCGAGGTCCTCATGTGTGGCAACAACAACTGCTGCAGGTGCCAGGGGTGCCAGGGCTGCCCGGGGGTGCCACGGGGGTGGGCTGGAACCAGGCAGCTCCCACTGGGGCCCCACTCCTGTCTGCCATGAGACTGGGCAGGTTTGGTGTTGGCACATTCCTGCCACGTGCCTTTGATGCCAGTCCTGGTGTGGCACTGGGGGGCTTTGGTGGTGTCCCAAACCCTGGGAAGGTTTGGTGGTGCCACAGTCTTGGCATAGGAGTTGAGCCAGCCCTGGTTTGGGGCTGGGGTGTTTTGGCAGTGCTGTGGGCTGTGGCACTGGAGCAGGTGGGTACGGTGGTGCCAGGGAGGTCCTGGTGGGGCCACTGTCCCCGTGGACATCAGGCTTTGATGGGTAGGATATGGTGATGCCACCATCCCACCATGGTCAGTGACGCCAGTCCTGTGGGAGGTTCTGGTGATGCCAAGTCCTGGTGTGGGAATTCAGGGATGTCATTGAGGAAATGTGTGGGAATTCTGGAATGCCAATAAGGAAATGTGTGGGAATATCATGATGTCAGTAGGGAAATGTGTGTGAATTCAGTGATGTCAATGAGGAAATGTGTGGAAATTCAGTGATGTCATTAAAAAAATGTGTGGGAATTCGGTGATGTTAATAAGGAAATGTGTGGCAATTCAGTGCCAATAAGGAAATGTGGGGAAATTCAGTGATGCCATTAAGGAAATGTGTGGGAATTCAGTGATGCCATTCAGGAAATGTGTGGAAATGTGGTGATGACAGTAAGGAAATGTCCCAGTCTGAGCATTCTGAGCCTCCTGGGCTGTGCCAGTGCCAGTGCCAGGGACTGTCCTGCTGTGCCCAGAGCCCCGTGGCTGCAGATGGCACAGCCCCACACTCTGTTTCCCCCCTGGCTCCCGCCCACTTTGCCAATGGCAGATTCTCAGATGTCTCCTTCAGCAAAGCCATTTGTTTGTGGCACAGGAGCACAAACGCAGCTGAGCTGGTGTCTCTGAGGAGGGATCCCCACTAATGAACCCCTGGGTTTTGTCCCCTCAGTGTCCCCTCTGCAGATCTCACTGTCCCTCCAGACTCCTCAGCTCCGTGCACCCACCTGGCTGCCAGGCAGCTCTCTTTATCTTTTATCTCCTTTGCTGTGTTATCTGGACTCCTGCTGGGTCTCTGTGTCCGCTCACAGGCTGGGTCACCCTTCCTCATCCTCTCTGTTACCCCAAAGCTCAGCAGCTCCAGCTGGGGCTGCACCCAGAGCTCAGCTCTGCAGCCCAGTCTGCATTTCAGACCCATAGCTGGGCCAGATTCATTCACCTCAGCACCAAATCTGGCATGTTTTGTGACAGGCATTGCAAAATATCCTAATATCCTGTCCTGGTGTGGAGCTAGAGGGGTTCTGGTAGTGCCACAGACCTGGCATGGAAACTGGGAGCTGCCAGTCCTGCTGTGGGGCTTGGCAGTGGTTTGGTGATGCCACAGCCCCAGAATGGGAAGTTCTGGTGCAGGATTTCAGTGGTGCCAGTCCTGCTTTGGGGCTGGGATGTGTTAATCACGCCACAGTCCCCCTGTGCAGGGTCCTGGTGCAGGATTTCAGTGGTGCCAGTCCTGCTTTGGGGCTGGCCGGATTTCTGATATCCCAGTGCAAAGCTGGAAAGATTTTCATGGTGCCACATTCCTGCCCTGGGCTGTTGATGATGCCAGTCCTGCTTTGGGATGTTTTAATGATGCCACAGTCTCCATGTGTAGGGTTGGGAGGTTTTGGTAAAGTTCTGGTCCAGGTGTGGGATTGGGGAGTTTTGGCAATGCCCTGGTCCTGCCTGGGTGGAGTTGGGGAGGTTCTGGCGATGCCACAGCCCTGGCACAGGGACTGGGTGGTGCCAGCTGTGGCTGGGGACTGGGAGGCTTTGGTGGTGCCTTGCTCCTGGTTGGTGGGGCTGGGGGAAGTTTTGGTAATGCCCCAGACTGGGGATGCCACAGTCCTGCTGTGGGGTTCAGGGTAATCCCAGATCTATGTGGGATTGAGGGTTTTGGGGGATCCCAGGTCCGGTGTGGGATTGAGGTTTTTGGTGATGCCACAGTCCTGCCGTGGGGCTTTGGAGGTTTGGGCAGTGATGAGATCCTGCAGGGCTGGGGAAGGTTCTGGCAAGGCTCCAGCGCTGCTGTGGAGCTGAGGAGCTCCTCTGATGGCCCAGGTCTGGGCTGGGATTGAAGGGTTTGGGTGGTGCCAGTTCTGGTTTGGGACCGAGGCTTTTGGTGATGCCACATTCCTGCCATGACGGTTTGGGTGATGCCAGGTCTGGGGTGGGACTGGGGTGGTTCTGGTGATGCCACAGTCCTGCCATGGGGTTTTGTGTGATGCCAGTTCTGGTGTATCATTGAGGTTTTTGGTGATGCCACAATCCTGCCATGGGGTTCTGGGTGATGCCAGGGCTGGTTTGTGGCTGGGCCAAGCTTTGGCAGTGCCCGCTCCCAGCGTGGAGCTGGCTCTCAGACCGGGGGTGCCAGCGGGCAGGGATTGCCCACTCGTGCCCTGGCGCTGCCCAGCTCCTGCTGGTGCCCGCCCCGGCAGGAGCCCCGTGCCAGCCCCGGGTGCCCCCCGTGCCAGGTGCTTCTGCGTGGAGTGCGTGGACCTGCTGGTGGGCCCGGGGGCGGCGCAGGCGGCCATCAAGGAGGACCCCTGGAACTGCTACATGTGCGGCCACAAGGGCGTGTACGGGCTGCTGCGGCGGCGCGAGGACTGGCCCTCCCGCCTGCAGATGTTCTTCGCCAACAACCACGACCAGGAGTTTGTGAGTCACCCTCCCAGTGCCCCCCGACCCTCCCAGTGCCCCCCGACCCTCCCTGCTGACCCCCTGACCCTCCCAGTGCCCCCCGACCCTCCCAGTGCCCCCCTGACCCTCCCAGTGCCCCCCGACCCTCCCAGTGTCCCCTGACCCTCCCAGTGCCCCCCGACCCTCCCAGTGTCCCCTGACCCTCCCAGTGCCCCCCTGACCTTCCCTGCTGACCCCCTGACCCTCCCAGTGCCCCCCGACCCTCCCAGTGTCCCCTGACCCTCCCAGTGTCCCCTGACCCTCCCTGCTGACCCCCTGACCCTCCCAGTGACCCCCGACCCTCCCTGCTGTCCCCAAGCCCAGCCCCTCCCCTCCCCTGCTGACCCCCAGCCCCTCCCTGCTGCCCACCCTGCCCCGGTGACCCCCAGTCCTGTCCTGTCAACGCTCAGCCCCTCCCCTGCCCTGCCCTGCCCTGCTGACCCCCAAGCCCTTCCCCGCTGATCCCCAGCCCCTCTCCTCTCTGCTGGCCCCAAGCCCTGCCCCACTGACCCCAGCCCCTCCCACTGACCCCCAACCCCTCCCCTCCCCTCTGAACCCCCAGGCCCACCCTGCTGACCCCCAGCCTCTCCCCACTGACCCCCAAGCCTTGCCCCACTGGCCTCTAAGCCCTTCCCCAATGACCCCCCAGGCCCCTCCCTGCTGACCCCCAAGTCCTGCCCCACTGACCCCAGGCCCCCCCAATGACCCCCGCAGCCCCACCCAGTGAGCCCCCAGCCCCGCCCTGCTGACCCCCCGAGCCCTTCCCCTGCCCCACTGACCCCCCAAGCCCTGCCCCACTGACCCCCTGCCCTGGCTGCAGGACCCCCCCAAGGTGTACCCGCCGGTGCCCGCTGAGAAGAGGAAGCCAATCCGGGTGCTGTCGCTCTTCGATGGCATCGCCACAGGTGGGTGGGGGTCCCTGCCCGTGGGCCTTGCAGGGCCCCCCCAGGGCATGGACAGGTCTGGGGGTGTTCCCATGGGTGTTCCCATGGACAGGTCTGTGGGTGCTCCTGTGGGTGTTCCCATGGACAGGTCTGTGGGTGTTCATGGGGACAGGTCTGTGGGTGTTCCTGTGGGTACCCCAAGGGTCACACACCAGAGGGGAGAGCAGGATGGGATCACCCCTGGTGGGTGGGACAGGTAGGGACAGGGCTGGGGCCCCTTTGTGACCATTCCCCATGGCTCCCCACAGGGCTGCTGGTGCTGAAGGACCTGGGCATCCAGGTGGACAGGTACATCGCCTCCGAGGTGTGCGAGGACTCCATCACCGTGGGCATGGTGAGGCACCAGGGCAAGATCATGTACGTCGGGGACGTCCGCAACGTCACCCAGAAACACGTAGGTGCCACCCTGACCCCTCCCTGCCAGCACCAGGGCATTGGGGCAGCCCTCAACGTCACCCAGAAACACGTAGGTGCCATCCTGACCCCTCCCTGCCAGCACCAGGACACCCCCAGAGCCTTGAGGCATCCCTCAATGTCACCCAGAAACACATAGGTGCCACCCTGACCCCTGCCCTGCCAGCACCAGGGCATTGGGGCACCCCTCAATGTCACCCAGAAACACATAGGTGCCACCCTGACCCCTGCCCTGCCAGCACCAGGGCATTGGGGCACCCCTCAATGTCACCCAGAAACACATAGGTGCCATCCTGGCCCCTGCCCTGCCTGCAATAGGGCATTAGGGCACCCCTCAATGTCACCCAGGAACACGTAGGTGCCATCCTGACCCCTCCCTGCCAATACCAGGACACCCCCAGGGCATTGGGGCAGACCCAGACCCCAGGCCCAGGGTGGGGTGTCAGGGTGTCCTGAGTGGGACCCCATGGTCCTGGTGGGTCCCTTCCCACTGCTCTGTGAGGGCCCCAAGGAAGGAGAAACGATGAGGAGAACTCCATCTTATCAGAAGGCTGATTAATTATTTTTTTATATTATATTAATCTATCATCTAAAAGTGAACCTGCCAAGCACTCAGCCCTGCACACACTGCCCAGATGTGCCCGTGTTCACAGGGGTCTGAGGATGAGGGAAGAGACAAGAATGTTCACTCCATGTTTCAGAAGGCTGATTTATTATTTTATTATATATATTACATTAAAACTACACTAAAAGAATAGAAGGAAGGATTTCATCAGAAGGCTAGCTAAGAATAGAAAAAGAAAGAATGAGTAACAAAGGCTTGTGTCTGGGACAGAGTGTCCAAGCCAGCTGACTGTGATTGGCCATTAATTAGAAACAACCACACGAGACCAATCACAGATGCACCTGTTGCATTCCACAGCAGCAGATAATCAATGCTCACATTTTGTTCCTGAGGCCTCTCAGCTTCTCAGGAGGAAAAAACCTAAGGGAAGGATTTTTCATAAAAGATGTCTGTGACACCCAGAATCTCATGACTGTCCCCCAACATTCCCCACACACACACACACACCTGGCCCTGATAAGCCAAGGAAACAAAACCCCATCACTCTGGGTAAACAATCTCCATATTGCATTCTGCTTTGGCACAAACACAGGCACAGCAAATGATAAGTATTGTGTTTTCTTTCTCTGAGGTTGAGACAATGCGAATCCCAGCGATATTCTTGGGAAGAACTGTGCCTTGCTTTTCTGTGTGAAGATAAATGTGGGGCTCCAGGGCACCATGGTGGCTGTGGCAGCACCTGGCTCACCTGGGCTCTCCTTTCCCTCTTGCAGATACAGGAGTGGGGCCCCTTTGACCTGGTCATTGGGGGCAGCCCCTGCAACGACCTGTCCATCGTCAACCCGGCCAGGAAGGGTCTCTACGGTACGGTGGGAGAGGGCTGGGGCTGCACAGGGGGGGCAGAGGGCTCACAGAGACCCCCAGGCCTTAGCCCAGCCCCTCATTCCTCCCCACAGAGGGCACCGGGCGCCTCTTCTTCGAGTTCTACCGCCTGCTGCACGAAGCCAGGCCCAAGGAGGGCGACGACCGGCCCTTCTTCTGGCTCTTTGAGAACGTGGTGGCCATGGGAGTGAGCGACAAGAGGGACATCTCGCGCTTCCTGGAGGTCAGTGCCCGCCCCCGCAGCCCTGGGGACACCCAGGTGCCACCCCCACAGTGTTTGGAAAGACAGGAGTCTGCTAAGGAGGGCAGGAGCCTCCCCTAAGATGGAGAATGTGAACCCTCCCCAACCTTACAGGACCCCAGACCCCAAAACTCTGCTAAGGAAGGCAGGAGCCTCCCCTGAGATGGAGAATGTGAGCCTCCCCACCCCTACAGGACCCCAAAACCCCCTCAGACCCCAAAACTCCCCCAGACCCCAAAACTCCCTGCTAAGGAAGGCAGGAGCCTCCCCTGAGATGGAGAATGTGAACCATCCCCACCCCTACAGGACCCCAAAACCCCCTCAGACCCCAAAACTTCCTCCTAAGGAAGGCAGCAGCCTCCCCTGAAAAGGAGAATGTGAACCCTCTCCCCCACTGCAGGACCCCAAAACTCCCCCAGACCCCAAAACTTCTTCCTAAGGAAGGCAGGAGCCTCTTCTGAAATGGAGAATGTAAACCCTCCTAACCTCTCTAAATTGCTCTAAATTTTAAATTAAGGGGCTCTCAGGCAAAAAATATGGGAGCAGGAAATAACAGTTGTTTAATAGGGAAGAAAAAAAAAATCTTCCTGTTTCTGGCACTCATTTGTTGTCTTTTCCCTTTCGGGATGCCAGCAAGATTGTGTCACAAATGCTACAGAAAGCATCACATGGAAAGAAAGCAAAGTTCCTCTTTTATTGCACACGCCCGTGTCAACAGCCACTGTTGTAACACATCCAAATTAAGAGAAATTTGAGAGAAAATTATTGGATTGCAAGAAACTTGGGAGAAAGTGGTAAAAGATTGGGAATTGAATGTCCAAAAGGAGAGAGATGGATTTGTTTTACATTTAATCCTAAAGATACAGTTCAGGATTTGGTAAAAAAACAAAAAAAAACCACAAATAGTAAACAAAAAGGTAAAAGCAGCACAGCAATCTAACTCTGTATTGACCCCAAATGAAAGTATAAAATAAACAATGCAGCACACTAGAACAACACTGACAGGGTCAGAACCCAGCCTGGCACCCTGTGGGTCAGGGTGTTGGTGGCAGTGCCATTGGAATTGTGGCTCATCCCTGCTGCAGTGTCAGGGGTGGTTCTGCTGGAGCAGGGATCCTGTAGAGAAGGATGGATTCTTCTGAAGATCCAGTGGAAGGAGAGGCAGCTGCGGTTCCTCTGGGGGATCCCATGGAGAAAGCTGTGCTGGTGTTCTGTGACCGTGTTCACGGGGGTCTGAGGCTGAGGGAAGGGATGAGGATCTGACTCCATGTTTCAGAAGGCTGATTTATTATTTTATCATATATATTACATTAAAACTATACTAAAAGAATAGAAGAAAAGGTTTCATCAGAAGGCTGGCTAAGAATAGAATAGAATCAGAAAGAATGAATAACAAAGGCTCTGTCTCAGACTCTCTGTCCAAGCCAGCTGACTGTGACTGGCCATTAATTATAAACATCCAACATGGGCCAATCAAAAATGCACCTGTTGCATCCCACAGCAGCAGATAACCATTGTTTACAGTTTGTTCCTGAGGCCTCTCATCTTCTCAGGAGGAAAAATCCTAAGGAAAGGATTTTTCATGAAAAGGTGTGTGTGACAGTGTCCCACAATCTCCAGATTATATCTGGGTAGCAATGCTTGGCTCCTCCCTCTGGGTGGAGCATCTCACAGTGGGATGTTATAGTTCTTATCAGCCATGCAGTGACATTCAATAGCTGTTATCAACAGATTGTGGTCACTCAGAGAGATAAGGCAACCTGCCCACTTGACAAAGATAATCTGCCAAACAGATGGCAATAGAACACACCTTGCATTGCCATGTGGAGCACACAGCTGCCCAGCCCCACTGGCCCTAAGCCCAGGGACAGGTCTGACCCTTGTCCCTCCTTCCCTCCCTCAGTCCAACCCCGTCATGATCGATGCCAAAGAAGTGTCTGCAGCACACCGGGCACGCTACTTCTGGGGGAACCTGCCGGGCATGAACAGGTGAGCAGGCAAAGCTGAGCCCCTGCCTGGCCCTGGGAGGGTGGGCTGTGCCCCTGGGCCTTCCCTCAGCTCATGAACAGGTGAGCAGGCAAAGCTGAGCCCCTGCCTGGCCCTGGGAGGGTGGGCTGTGCCCCTGGCTCATCCCTCAGCTCAGGTGTGCCCCTGGGAGGGTGGGCTGTACTCCTCGCTCCTCCCTCAGCCCAGCTGTGCCTCTGGGGGTCCCCTGAGCCTGGTCAGGGCTGGGCAGGAGCAGGAGTCTGACAAGAGGTGATGGCACACCCTAGAAACCTGTGGTGGTTCCCCATGGCGGTATCTGGTCCTGTCCCAGCTCTCTTGTGCTGCAGGGGTGGCACTGAGCTGTCCTTTGTGTCCCTCTTGGGTGTTGGCTGTGTAGTGGCCACAGATGGGCTCCCACAGCCCATTACCTGCCACACACCCCCAAAACAGCCATGGCCACCTCGTGACCCCCACAAACCCTGCCCTGTGCCCACGGTGGGGAGGGGACGGCGTGGGGACACGGTGCTGCCACCCCCTGCTCACCATCTCTGTCCCCCAGGCCGCTCGCATCCACCGTCAACGACAAGCTGGAGCTGCAGGAGTGCCTGGAGCACGGCAGGATAGCAAAGGTCAGCCTGGGCTGGGGGTGAGGGGGGCCTCAGGGGCAGGAGGGGGTCCCAGTGCTGTCAGCAGCAGTCCCTGGCTCCCTGGGGCACAGGGTGGGGGTTCCAGGAGGGATCAGTGGGGCTCCCAGGCTCTCTGGGACACATGTGGGGGTTCCATGAGGGATCAGTGGGGCTCCCAGGCTCTCTGAGGTGCAGGATTGGGGTTCCAGGAGGGATCAGTGGTGGCTCCCAGGGTGGGAGTTGCTCCATGCCAGCCCAGCCTGACCAGCCCGTGCCTCTTGCAGTTCAGCAAAGTGAGAACCATCACCACCCGCTCCAACTCCATCAAGCAGGGCAAGGACCAGCACTTCCCCGTGTTCATGAACGAGAAGGAGGACATCCTGTGGTGCACGGAGATGGAGAGGTAGGGGACAAGGAGAGGACATGCTGTGGTGCACGGAGATGGAGAGGTAGGGCAGGTGGGCCAGACACAGACCCCAACCCTGATCTAATGAGACCTTTGCTGGGTTCAGGGTGTCCCCAGCAGGCTGCAGGGTCCCAGACAGTGCAGTGCTGTTTGGGACAGACTGTCCAAGCTCCCAAGCAGTTCTTAGCCACAGGCAACCTTGGCAAGCTTAAGTGAAATCAGCTCTTTTAGTTGATATCAGCTCTTTAGTGATCATCAGCTCATTGTGATTTCAGCTCTCAGCTTGCTAGGTGCCTTGGACAGATGCAGGGAGAGAGGGAGGAGAAGGCTGTGTGGGGTTCCACAGGAGAATTTCCACAAAATTCTTTATTGAATTATTGATTCAATAAAGAATCAATCTTTATTGATTCTTCTGTGAAGGTTCCCAGTGACAGCTCTTTTGCCCAAGCTGGGCAAAAACAGCTCTTTATACTGAGTACAGGGGTATCAGAAATGGTGCAATAGCAAAAGGAAAGTGACCTATAGGGTTAGAGAGAGATTAGCAGGGGTTACAGGAAAGTGACCTATAGGGTTACAGAGAGATAAGCAAGGGTTAAAGGAAAGTGACCTGTAGGGTTACAGAGAGATAAGCAAGGGTCAAAGGAAAGTGACCTGTAGGGTTACAGAGAGATAAGCAAGGGTCAAAGGAAAGTGACCTGTAGGGTTACAGAGAGATAAACAAGGATTAAAGGAAAGTGACCTATAGGGTTATAGAGAGATAAACAAGGGTCAAAGGAAAGTGACCTATAGGGTTACAGAGAGATAAACATGGGTTAAGGAAAGTGACCTATAGGGTTACAGAGAGATAAGCAAGGGTCAAAGGAAAGTGACCTATAGGGTTACAGAGAGATAAACAAAGGTTAAGGAAAGTGACCTGTAGGGTTACAGAGAGATTAGCAGGGGTTACAGGAAAGTGACCTCTAGGGGCACAGAGAGGGTTAAAGGAAGGTGACCTATGGGGTTACAGAGATAAGCAGGGGTCCAAAGGTGGAAGAGGGGCTTCCAGCCCCCTCACCATGACTTGGCATTTCCTGTGGAGGCATTGCAGGCCCCGTGCCTGCCACGCTGACCCGTCCCTGTCCCCGTGTCCCGCAGGGTGTTCGGCTTCCCCGTGCACTACACGGACGTGTCCAACATGAGCCGCCTGGCCCGGCAGAGACTGCTCGGCAGGTCCTGGAGCGTGCCGGTGATCCGCCACCTCTTCGCGCCCCTGAAGGAATACTTTGCCTGCGTTTAGAGATGGGCAGGGACTGGCCACACTCACGGAGCGAGTCGGTAACAAACCCATCCACGCCAAGAGAAGTGAACACACGGAATGAGAGAAGAGTCAGCACCCAGAAGAGAGACGGGATTTCGCAGCCCGACGGGAACCCAGCACGCGTCTCCCCGAGCGAAAGGGGTCGGTGTCATCTCCGGAATTTCCCAGGATCAGCTTTAGCTATTTAAAAACAAACAGAAACCACAAGAAGCAAACAAAAAAAAAAAAAAAACAACGAAGATGGCGAAAGCAAACAAACGACGACGAAACGGAAGAAGAAAAAAAAAAGAAGAAGAAAAGAAACCAAAACCTTTTTTTTTTTTCTTTTTGGGTAACCTTTTAATTTTCCGCTCTTTTCTGGCTGGGTTTTCCTGTCGGTTTGGTTTCCACTTCTCGGAGCAGCGGGCGAGACGAGACGCCAGCGCCGCTCTCGGAGAGGGGGAAACGGCAGCGGGGGGAAAGCCCAGCGGGGAGGGAGGCGGAGGAGGCGAAGGAGACCCTGCTCTGCTCCGAGACCCGCTCCGAGACCGCTCCGAGACCGCTCCGCTCCGTCCGCGCCAGCAGCGCCCGGCCGGCCCGGCCCCGGCCCCGGCGGCTGAGCCTCGCTCTGTTCCACCAGCACCGCTCTCCGGTGACATGGAGCCGACCCGGCAGGGAGGCCGGGAACACACACACCACACACACACCTTTTCTACAGTATTTTGGGTGCCTACCACACGGGAAACCTTGAAGAGAGCAGATCCTAGAAGCCGCTGTTACCTCTTGTTTACAGTTTATATATATATGATAGATATGAGATATAGATATATATATATATAAAAGGTACTGTTACTACTGTACAACCTGACTTCATAATGGTGCTTTACACAGCGGGGTGAGTCGAGACATCAGCTTCCACGTTGCCTTACGCGCCGGGCCTTTCCGAGCGAGCGGCAGGGCCGGGGCGGCCGGGCGGAAGCGTCTCCATCCCGAGTCATGCAATAACCTTTTTCTGTCCCGAACGGAAGCGCCTCGGCGGCGCCCCCCTGCCCCGCCGGCGCCGCCCCGCAGCGTACTGGTGCTCTTCTGCGTACGCGGTGTCCGCCGGGGCCCGTGCCGGCCGCGCCCCGCCGTCCCGCGGGGCGGCACGGGGGCGCCGGCGGGGCAGGGGGCGCGCGGCGGTGCCGGAGCGCGGCCGGGGCGCTTCGGGCATGGCGCGGGGATGGCCGCGGCTCCCGGACCCTGGTGCTACATCCGCGGGGCCGGGCCGGCGGCAGGAGGGCGATGCCCCGGCGAGCCGGGAACGGGACCCCGGCGGCGGCGCCGCGGCCACCGGGCCATCGCTCCCCTGCCCGCGCGCGGTTCGGAGCAGCGAGCGCGTCCCCTCGGTGGCGCCGGGGTGACGGTGGCAGTGGCGGTGGCAGTGTCCCCTCGGTGCCCGCCGGGGTGACGTGGCACGGCGGCGGTGGCAGTGTCCCCTCGGTGCCCGCCGGGGTGACGTGGCACGGTGGCGGTGGCAGTGTCGGTGCTGGCGGTGGGAGCGGAGCAGGTGCTGGCGGTGCTGCGGTGGATGGTGCTACGCTCCGGGGCAGGCACTGGTGCTCGGGCGCGGGGAGGCTCCGGGGCCGTCGCTGTCTCCTCTCTAACTGTGAAAGGTGCGGGCCCGGGGCCGCGCTCGCTGCGGGGTGCTGGCTAATGGCAGCGAGCCGCGGCCCGGGCCCCGAGGTGCTGGGACCGACGGCGGCGAGGGGCCCCCGGCTCCCCTCCCTGCTGGTGCTACTGGGGGCCGGGGGCCCCTCTGGGTGCGGGGGGCACGGGGAGCTGAGCTGGCACGGGCGGCCGCGGTGGGGGCGCCGCGGGGCCCGGCCGTGCCGGGGAGTGAGGGTGGCAGGCAGGGGGCACCGGGCTCCTGCTCGCGCCCGGGGCCGGGTGGCACGGCATGGCACAGCGTGGCACAGGACTGCTGCACCGGGCACGGGTCCTGCCTGCCTGCTGCTGTCAGAGCCCGTGAGCCCGTGTGTGGGGCTGGCATGGCCCCGGGCGTCCTGTGTGGGGCACGGTGGGCACTGTGGGTCCTGCATGGCCCTGCAGCACTGCTGCCGGTCCTGCATGGCTGTGTGCCCCCGGCTGTGGGTCCTGCATGGATCCACTGCACAGCCTGTGGGTCCTGCACAGTCCCACAGACCTGGGTGCTGGTGCTGCATGGCCCTGCAGCGCTGACTGCAGGCCCTGCGTGGCCTCGCCGTGGCGAATGCAGGGCCTGCACGGCCCTGTGGCGCTGGGTGCTGATCCTGCATGGCCTTGAGGTGCTGGGTGCTGGTCCTGCACGGCCCTGCGACGTTGTTGGCAGGCCCTGCACGGCTCTGTGGCACTGGGTGCTGGTCCTGCACGGTCCTGCAGCTCTGGGTGCTGACCCTGCGTGGCGGCCCTGCGGCTCCCGGTGCCGGTGCTGCCCGGTGCTGCCCGGTGCTGCGGGTTCTGCACGGCCCCGCGCTGGGTTTGGGGGTCCCAGGGACCCCCGGGGCCGGCCCAGCTCAGCCCAGCCCTGCAGCTCTTCCTGGGACCCCCTGGCCCTGCTGCACCTTTGGGGGCTGGGTCCCAGCAGGTGCTGCGGCGTTGGCACGGCCGGTGCCGGTTCCGGTTCTGATGCTGGTGACGGTTCTGTGCCGGTTCTGGTGCTGGTGACGGTTCTGTGCTAGTTCTGGTGCTGGTTCTGGTGCCGGTTCTGTGCCAGTTCTGATGCCGGTTCTGGTACCCATGCCGTTCTGGCACCGGTTCTGGTGCCAGTCCCGGTTCTGTGCCAGTTCTGGTGCTGGTGCCGGTTCTGTCCCGGTTCTGCGCCGGTTCTGGTGCCAGTACCGGTTCTGTGCCGGTTCTGGTGCCAGTACCGGTTCTGTGCCGGTTCTGTGCCAGTTCTGGTGCTGGTGCCGGTTCTGTCCCGGTCCTGTGCCGGTTCCGGACCAGTACCAGTGCCAGTACCGGTTCTGTGCCGGTTCTGGTGCCAGTTCCGGTGCCGGTTCCGGACCGGTACCGGTGCCGTGGGAAGCGGGTTCCTGCTGGGAGCAGGTGCCGGCGGCGGTGGGGACCGTGGGGATGCCTGGGGCGAGAGTTCAGTTTTAACAAAGTACCCGACTCACGTCTTTTTTTAAACAAAACCAACCAGACAAATTCTGTTGCACAGCCCTAGATGAAAACTCAAAACAACACAGCAAGGCCTGAATTCCTTAAGATCCGCCGAGGGAGTGGGGACAAACACGGTGCTAAAACATTTTATTAAAAATATATATTGTTAAATTAAGTCTGCTGTCTGGACAATGACTGTTTTGTTTCTCGTAGTGGAGTTTCAAAGAGCACTATTATTTTACTCTTATATATTATTATTAAAAAAAAAAAACAAAAAAGAAAAAGGCATTTTAACTTTGTACTTGAAAACTAAATGAGAGATTTCATGTGTTTTAGCCTAGACATTGAAGTAGCTGACGCTTAACTATTTGTGGGAATCATGTACTCATCATCCCGAGGAATACGCTGTAGAGCTGGTACCCTCCTTCCTCCCTCCCTTCCTTCCTCTTCCTCTTCCTCCTCCTCCCTTTGATTTGGCTCCGCCGCCACATTCCCGGCGCCGCCGCGGCCGCTCTGCCCGCCCTTCTCCCCCCACCCACCCCGGTTTATTTTCTATTCTCTCTCGGTTCGTTGCCCCTGTTTTTTTGTTGGTTTGTTTTTTTAGGGTCGCTTCTCTATTTATTGCCGCTGAACTGTGCATTTCACGGCCGGAGGTGCCGCGGGCGCCCGGCGCTGTTGTATCTGTGTGAGTATTGCTCGTGACATAGCTGTTCTGAACTAATAAAGGTCAATGCGTGCAGCAGATGTAGAAAGTCTGTCCGTCCCGCTTCCATCCCATCCTCCTTTTCTTTTTTTCTTTGGTGCCCAGAAGAGTATAATACAGACGAGCTCCTTTCTAATGTACTTGTGCTGGAGAACACTTGAATAAATGTCCTGTTTTGTGCAAAAAAAAAAAAAAGAGAAAAAAAGAGGAAAAAAAAAAAGAGAGGAAAAAAAAAAACACCTCTGTGTGGTTGTGTGGTCTGTCTGGCGTGGGTGGGGAGATCCAGGTGCTAAAGGGGTCCTGGTGGTAGTGGGGTCCTGGCCGGTCCTGCTGCCTTTGGGGTCCTGGTGATGGTGGGGTCCTGGTACGTGCTGGTGCCTTTGGGGTCCTGGTGGTAGTGGGGTCCTGGTACCTTCTTTGGGGTCCTGACAGGTCCTGGTGCCTTCTTTGGGGCCCTGGTGCCTTTGGGGTCCTGGGCAGGTCCTGATGCCTTTGGCATCCTGGAGATCGTGGGGTCCTGGCAGGTCCTGGTGCCTTTGGGGTTTGGGGGGCACTGGGGTCCCGGTGCAGGTGCTGGAATGCAAAGCTGTGGTGGAGTCCCAGGGGGTCCTGGCAGGAGGTAGAATTGGGTGATTGTGGCGTTCTGGTGGGGCCCTGGCAGGAGGTGGAATTGGGCAGTTTTTGAGTCCTGGAGGGCACTGGCAGGTGGTGGGACTGATGTGATTGTGGAGGCCTGGAGGGGCCTTGGAAGGTGCTGGGATTTTGGTGATTGTGGAGCCCTGGAGAGCCCTGGGGTCCCTGGCAGGTGGTGGGATTTTGGTGATTGTGGAGGCCTGGAGGGGCCCTGGCAGGTGGTGGAGTTTGGATAATGGTGGAGTTTGGAGAGCCCTGGGGTCCCTGGCAGGTGGTGGGATTTGGGTGATTGTGGAGCCCTGGAGAGCCCTGGGGTCCCTGGGGGTGGGTGTTTGGGGGTCCCAGTGCAGTGGGGTCCCAGCCCTGAGGTGCTTGTGTTCCCAATGAGCAAAGGGCTCCCAGGGGTCTCAATCCCCGGTGAGGGGCTCTGGGTTGTGCCCAGCTCCCTTGGGCACTGGGGTCATTGGCTGGCACAGCCCTGGGGTGGGGGTTGAATGGGCACCCTCATTTCCACCGTGTGAGCTGTGGGTCTGGAAACTGCCCCGTGCCTCAGTTTCCCCTCCAGCTGAGGCCCCAGTGCCAGCCCCAAGGTGGTGGGACCTTCATCCAGGTGATGAAGGACACGGGGTGGGCAAGCAGTGTCAGTGACAGGTGTGACAGCCTGGGGACCCGTGCTGTGCCAGGGGTGGTGGCACAGGGCATGCCAGGCTCCCCAGGGCTGTGGTGACCTCACAAAGCACAAAAAGACACAGTGCTGGTGCTGGGCTGGGGCATGGATGGACTCAAGAGCAGCCCTGGGAGAAGATGTGGGGAAGGGAATTACAGAAAATGTTCAAAATTTAATGGAAGTTCACATCATGTGTACGTAAACTTTGAGATCGGAATTGTTGACTTAGAAATGTTATGGAATAAGACAGATGTTGAGAGAGAAACTGAACTAGAAATAAGTTTTAAAGGATGATCTTGTGAATAAGATTAGATACTTTAGAGAAATAGAACTATGAAAGATGTATTACCCCACGAGGGGTAATTTTAGATTATTAGCTTTAAGGTATTTACAGTGTGGTGTGGCTAAAGTTGACAGGCCGTGAAATGCTTGTAGTGTAATTAGGAAATTGTTGCTGCCCTGTCAGGGCCACAGAAGGGAGGAATTTCTGACAGGAAGGTTCCAGGCCCGGGAGAGGCAAGGTCTGGTGGGCACATCCTGGTTTAATGTGTGGGGACAGCGTTTCCCCACTGTGTGAGAGGAGCAGCAGCTGCTCCTGCCCGAGGCACAAACACCAGCCCAGGGCAGGGACTGCAGCTGTGGCCACCCCAAAGGTGCCTTGTGGGCACCTGAACTGGGGCTGCACACACTGCTGCTGCTGTGGGGAAGGTAAATTCGATAATGTCTCACCTGTGGGAAAGGGAAATTCAATAATGTCTCACCTGTGAGGAAGGGAAATTCAATAATGTCTTACCTGTGAGGAAGGGAAATTCAATAATGTCTCACCTGGGGTAGGCTAACTCTTGGGGAAGATGGAACAGGAAAGCCTTATCAATATGATTGTCTGGCAAAAGATTTCGAGAATATGGAAACTATAAGTGAGATTGAAATGAAAGCAAGCTTTGGGATACCTCAGTTACTGAACAACGGGAAAACAATGGTGTGGCCAGCTGAAGGTGATCCCCTATTGATGGAACAACACCCTCTGCTTGCAGACAGGCCCAAGGGTCAGAGCAGACCCTACAGCTTGGCAGAAGGGCCCAAAGAGGAGTTTTTAGGGTTTAAAATGTAACAGTGTGGTAATGTAGTGATTCTTATAGGCTGTATGGAAATGCTACAGGATTTATATCTTGTACTAGATTGGTTAGTGAGAATTAGAATATTCAGCACAGAAGAAGATTTATGGTATTGTAACGGGAACCTCGCTCTCTTACCCTTTTACGCCTTTACCCTTTTTACTCTCTTACCTTTTTTACTCCTTACTCTCTTACCCTCTTACTCTCTTACCCTCTCATCCTCTCTCCCCCTCTCCTCTCTCGGGCCTGCTCTGAGCTGTGGCTGCAGCTCCCAGCAGGGCCCTGCACCCAGGCCCTTTGCAATGAACCCCAAATCCCAGCAGGGCCCTTTGCAATGAACCCCAAATCCCAGCAGGGCCCTTTGCAATGAACCCCAAATCCCAGCAGGGCCCTTTGCAATAAACCCCAAATCCCAGCAGAGCCCTTTGCAATGAACCCCAAATCCCAGCAGGGCCCTTTGCAATGAACCCCAAATCCCAGCAGGGCCCTTTGCAATAAACCCCAAATCCCAGCAGGGCCCTGTGCAATAAACCCCAAATCCCAGCAGGGCCCTGCACCCAGGCCCTTTGCAATAAACCCCAAATCCCAGCAGGGCCCCGCACCCAGGCCCTTTGCAATAAACCCCAAATCCCAGCAGGGCCCTGCACCCAGGCCCTGTGCAATGAACCCCAAATCCCAGCAGGGCCCTGCACCCAGGCCCTGTGCAATAAACCCCAAATCCCAGCAGGGCCCTGCACCCAGGCCCTTTGCAATGAACCCCAAATCCCAGCAGGGCCCTGCACCCAGGCCCTTTGCAATAAACCCCAAATCCCAGCAGGGCCCTTTGCAATAAACCCCAAATCCCAGCAGGGCCCTGTGCAATAAACCCCAAATCCCAGCAGGGCCCTGCACCCAGGCCCTTTGCAATGAACCCCAAATCCCAGCAGGGCCCTTTGCAATGAACCCCAAATCCCAGCAGGGCCCTTTGCAATAAACCCCAAATCCCAGCAGAGCCCTTTGCAATGAACCCCAAATCCCAGCAGGGCCCTTTGCAATGAACCCCAAATCCCAGCAGGGCCCTTTGCAATAAACCCCAAATCCCAGCAGGGCCCTGTGCAATAAACCCCAAATCCCAGCAGGGCCCCGCACCCAGGCCCTTTGCAATGAACCCCAAATCCCAGCAGGGCCCTGCACCCAGGCCCTTTGCAATAAACCCCAAATCCCAGCAGGGCCCCGCACCCAGGCCCTTTGCAATGAACCCCAAATCCCAGCAGGGCCCTGCACCCAGGCCCTTTGCAATAAACCCCAAATCCCAGCAGGGCCCTGCACCCAGGCCCTTTGCAATGAACCCCAAATCCCAGCAGGGCCCTGCATCCAGGCCCTGTGCAATGAACCCCAAATCCCAGCAGAGCCCTGCACCCAGGCCCTTTGCAATGAACCCCAAATCCCAGCAGAGCCCTGTGCAATAAACCCCAAATCCCAGCAGGGCCCTTTGCAATGAACCCCAAATCCCAGCAGGGCCCTGTGCAATAAACCCCA